GTTCTTTGAAAATCTGATTACTAAGTAGCTTGGTAAATTGAATCAAATAAGAAGTATCTTCTAATGCTAATGCAGTAAATAGCATTCAGTTGTTAAGTGATTAATGTAGAACTTCCAAACCTGGGTAAATAGCAGCACTGGGAAAAGTATAAATCTCTGATTTAAGTGTATTTAAATCAATACAGCCTGGATTCACTCGTACAGCATTTTCTAGTACATAAATCTAAACAACATTAGCGAATCTTTTTGATTTATGCTTCAAAAGTGGATCAATTTCTCATTTATTTGTTATTAATAATTGTATAATTAAGACCAGACCTGCACAATATCATAGTGCAGTAGGCAGGCCAGGACTCTTGGCTTCCTAGTGAGTCATTTAATGGGTTTCAAACTTTAGACACAAGATAACATGCAGAAAACAGGTGTTGCCTTCTCTGGAAAAAGGGAACAGCTGCCTCTGCATAATTCCAGCTTCTATTTCTCATAATTGTACAAATCTGCTTTGAATTTTCTGTGAAATGAATGGCAATCTTAAAATCAGCTGCTCCATTTTATAGATCCTGTGTGGTAGATTTTTAACAGCCTGGGCCACAGAAGCACTAGTTGAGAGAGGGAGAGCAAAATTCTGTTTTCAGGCCCTGGCTTATGGCTCTTGGAGCATCTGTGAGCACAGCCTGGGCCGTTTGTGGCAGCAGAGTTGTTGCTCCCTCTGGAATCCTCCCTTGCTCTCCAAGTCAGGATTTTCAGGGTTGGGATGGAGGTTTGTTTTGGTTTTTTCTTCTCCTTTCCTCTCCTTTGTCACCTCAGGCAGTTTTCCTCCAGTCCTTTTCCCACCTCTCCCCTAAGGAAAGTTTCCCAGGAGGAACTAATCTGTTCCAAATATAGGTGTTGGTCATGTTGTCCATCTTTTGCCTCAGGACTCATCTACAGGCTCTCAGATAATGGTGAGTTAGTTCTCTATTGGTTTGGGTGTCTGACTCGCCAAAGTCCAAGAACTGTGTGTGGATTGTGGTCCTGAAGAACTGAGCAGTAGCTGGATGCAGTAATTCTCTTTTAGTTATACCCATAGTTTGTGTTAATGTAATGGTAAGATAATTTTGATTGACATCTTTCTGCTTAAGGTGTAAACATTCTCCCCTTTCATCCTAACAGAGGAACATCTGTAACTTTGAGTGTTTTTGGTTGGTGGGGAGAGTCGGTGTTTGTTCTAATCACAGGAGCCCTGAGTTGATGGTGCTCATATAAATATGTTTGTGTACTTGAGGTGAAAAACAGCTGGAAAAAGCTCTTGCTGTGGCAAGTGTTTTATTTGAGTCTTCGAAGTTGTGGTTTTCTAGGAAATGTCCTGACTTCTCTCAGAAAAAAAACAAAGCACTTCCACATCCCAGGAAAGTTTGCCTCACCGTTATTCCAGGGGGGCAGGACTGTCCTACAGACTGTTGTGTTCATTGGTCTGTTCTTCCCCTTGAGCCATGGGGGGAGTCGCTGCATAAGCTGCTGTACCAGAGTTGGTTTGCGTTTTTTCTCATGCAGCTCCTTCTGTAATAGATTTTTTTGAAATAACATGAGCTTTAGACAAAACTTGGGTCTCCCAAAAGAAAAACAAGTGGATTTGTAGGTTCCCTTTAAGTAGCCAGTGCTGCTTCTGAGGGGGATATTACTAGTCTAGCCTTTTTGTAGTAATGGTAATTGTTTAATGCAGAGCTTCTTTTATGCATTTTCCCCCCTTCCTGATATTTCCTCTCTCTAGGGAGGATTATCCCTATAATCAGTTTAATGGAATATTTGATAAATAGCATAGAAAATAACCTGCTGCTGTGCTTCCTCTGGGCATGTGTACAGGCATAAAGGGGAGTTTTCACATAAAGTTAAAGCAACTTCTGAGGAGAAGTGGAGCTTTGCTTGGAACTAGATGTTGGGAGTTAAACCGAGGTACAGCCTGGAGATTTTGGAATGACTTGCAACAAACCTCACTGGGAATTCAGCACAAGATTTTGACTGCCAGGTTAGGGGTAAAGTCATAATCATAGAAAAAATAAGGTGGATCTTGTCCACAACCAGGGATACTCCTAAGGCCTGGGCAGGAATTCTGTTGAGGTATTGGTGAACAGAAGCTTGTTTGAGATATAATTTTTCATTTTACCTCTCCACTGACAGTGTGTCCACTTTGTGTGTTGAACATGGATTTTTTTTATCCCCCACCCTTCTAATCCAATTTCTTGCCCTTAGTTTGATATTAGTTATTTTAACAGCTGTTCCTGGGGTCTTTTACAACAATTATATTAATGATAACTTTAACACAGAACAAAAAATCACCTTCTGTCTTTTACCTTCTTTTTAAAAGAAAAAGACTGGATTTCTTCCATCATGGGCAGAGCAAAGCTTCCTATCTCCATCTACACTGCCCACAAGAAGGAGATGGAACTCTTGATGCCTATTAGAGAAATTGGATTGAGTAGATCCTGTTCCTGTTCCCAGAAATATCTCTACTCATTACAGGTCAATTGAGTGGGTTTCCATATGATGATTTTCAAGTCAGAACCTGACACAAAGGACCCGGTGGTTTTCCATGTGTCAGGATTCAGGAGGCTGCCATCATGAACCTCAGGAATGGCTTTGCTGGATGAGGTTTTTTTCTGTCTTGTCACAGGTTGTGCAAAAGAAAGCAGTAAGAGCACAGCACTGACCTTTTTATGATGTGCTGACTGACAAGCATGTGCCTATGCAGTACTAGACTTCACTCACAGCTCATAATTACCATTTTCCCTCTGAAATGGGGAGAATAGTTGCAGAGACAACGTGGTTACAACTTTTCAGAAAGAGAATTACTGGACTTTTAAGATGAGTGGTGGGTGTATAGTGTTACTAATCTGATGAACAGGAGGAAAAACATACATTTCAGCACTAAGTGCTCAGATGGGGACAGCAGCCCTGAGGGTGAAGAAGCTAAGTGTGGCATATTATCCTCCACTTGTACATGCAAGTCCTTGTACTTCCTCTCTATGCCTATTTTTGTCACCTCTAAAATATAGTAAAATTAAAAGGCTTTTTTCACAAGATCTGTTGTGAGCTGTTTGAACTTTTAATATTACAAGTAATGCTCAGTCCTTTCACTGTTCAGATAATTTTAGGGCAGAGGTATCATGTCCCTGTTATTAAAATCTGCAGATTTTATGTTGGTCGGTATTGCAGTCCAGTCTACGGCCAGTGCTGGGATTTGGTGTCAGTCAATCACTTTGACTAGAACCAATTTCCTCCCCAGAGAGCAGAGCAGCTCCTTGAGGAGCCTTCTTGCTTTTTTTTCTCCTTTTTTCTGTCCTTCACAGGACACAGTAAATTAACATCCAACTATCTGGGGAGGTGAAAGAGCTGAGATTCATAAGGATGGTCTATGATTTGCCCCCCCGCTCAGACTGAAGCACATAAAATTCCTGAAGTCTTTTTTAATCCAATCTGTGCCATTTTAGAAACTAGAACCAGATTATCTCAGCTATGAAAATTGCCTGGATTAGAGGAAACTTCAGGGACTGTTACCCAAGTACTTATAACTCACAGTTGTGTGTCACAAACACAGGGTTGCATTATCAATTACAGTGAATCTGTGGCTGTTATTATTTAAAAAATCAGGTAAGCAAAGATTCATTTTTCTATTAAGTGTGTTTTACTCTTAATTTGAAACATTTATTCGTGGATGCACATATGGTGATTCCAGTTGACTCGAAATAGCCACATTCTGTGAACCCAAAAACTAGATATTTATGTGTGAATTGAAACTATACAGCTTTTCCTCAGCTCTCTCCCTTTCCCTGTAGGTTACATAGCACCAAATCTGCAGCTTTAAATCTGTCTGCAAGGAAAAATCTGTCCAGAACAAGTTCTAAGCTGATTTGCAGTTAGGTTGGTGTAGGAAATATAAGGACATTTTTCCTGTGCATCAGTTTTCTGGATTGGCATAGACAGGCAATATGTTTGCAGCAGGAGTTTTAATAACTGAGGATGCTGAGACTGTTTGAAAATGGTGTTGCAAAAGGACAGGAGCTCTTAGTGAATCTGATGGGATTAAAGGAAAAACTTCAAGATGTTAATTGCAGTTACTATGTTTGTGACTTGTGTAGGGAGTAGCAATTAAATTACACTTAATTTCCAATATTATAATTGCAACTGGACATACATGTTTTGAGTTTTGATGATTTTTTTTCTGTCTTCAGCATGTAATAGTTTTGAACACTTATCTAAATACAGTACAAATGATATATCAGGCAACAAAATGAAACAGCATCTCTCTTCAAGTTCTGCTTACATTGAGGGTTGTTAACCTGAACTTCTTCATAAATCTTAGTATCTGCATCTGGATTGTCTGGGAAAACCATGTTGGAGTTACCTTTGCTTTGCCATGAGAGGTGTGCCCTTGCCTTCCACCTCAAACGCTGCCTTGGGCGTGGGGGGGTTACTTCTTTCTCAGAGAAGTAAATCTGAAAAAAAGGGGGAAGATGGAACATTATCAGTTTTGTAAAACTGTGTAAATCCTCATCTGATGGCAGTTATTTTGCTGAGTAAAATAAAACTGTCTTCTGTAATTCAAGTTGCCTAAAATATGAATTATGTAGATTATTAACTACAACAAAGAGAAAATCGCTGTTACACTGACAGGGGTTTGGGAGCTTCCATTCCCTGTCACTCCCCCACACCCGCTGAACTGCGGATTTCTGCCTCTTTGGGAAGATACCTGCTTGTTTATAGGAACAGTGTCACCAAGAATGCCAGCAAAATGTTTATTATGACTATTGTTACCTCTATAATGTCTGGAGTTCTAGGGAAAACTGTCACTGCTGCTCGATAGGACAAGTAAAATGCGTGTGACAAAAGCTGATTTCTTCTATGGCTTCTTATTTTTTATTTTCTTCCTTAAAATTACTATTTAAGCTTTTCGGTGTCACCAAGTTCCCTCTCCCCTCCCACCCCGAGTAGAAGTGTAATGTATTTCCTTTGTTGGTTTTCAGGCATTCAAAAGGGATGTTCCTGCTGATTCAAGACCACATAGTTCTGTCCAGGACTCTACACTGGGGATAGGGACATGGGACTCCTCCTGCCAGATTCCAGATGGTTCATTCCAACTGACATCCTGGTTGACAACTGTGAAAAGGAACTTCGGATTATTCTATTTTATCTTCGTGGAAGACCTCAATCCCCAAACTGTAGGACATATCAGGTACTAAACCAGATAGTAAGACTTTTCTGCAATGTTCTTTGATTGTTATTTGTTTCCTATGAATGATTTTAAGCATTCAGATCTTACTCTTTATTTCTTTGAAGAAATGGGAAATTCTTGGTTTTACTTGCACAGTAGCTGAGTAATGACAAGAATTTGTGTTTCTTGTTTTCTAGGGAAAATTTGGGGTGATTCTGTTACAACATTTAGTCATATTTTATAGAGTTTTAAAAATTACTATTATTATAAATTATAATTGTTGATAATAGTTATTATTTTAATTACCAAATCTGTCTCTTTCTTTGTTGCTTTTGAGAAAATGCTTAATTTTATTAAGACTAATTTTGCTATATTTAGTACATAAGATACTGACTGCACAAGTTCTGAATGCAGGAACTATCTGGCAACAATAACACTTAAAAGTTTTAATGAAATTTATGATTTTTTGCACACTTGGGAAATTATGATTCATCTAATTACTTTCAACCCTCTTAAAATAAATCTATGTGTAATTCTCTTTTCCTTTCAGAAAATCTTCCCTTGTTTCTGTTGGAACCTAGTTTATTTTTAAAATAGAGAAAGAAAAATCTGTGAGTGCTATCCAATAGTGCAGCCCTTAGTTCTTGTTTGTAGAGATGTTTGCTCTTAAAACCTCTTGATAAAAGTGGTTAAAAAGATATCACTTCCTCTAATACAAGACAGGAAAAAGATCCTTTTTGCAACAAAATCCTGTTTATTTTGGGGAGCTGTTTAGGTATGGGTGGGGTTTTTTGATTCATTTTCAATGACTCAATGATCCACTTTTTCTTTGTCCTAAAGGTTCCATATTTCTTGTAGAATTTTAAAATAACCTTTTCTAATGAGGATGTCTGATATTCTCACTGTAAAAGATGAAACTGATGCAATGAAGGGTTCAGAAGCTGAATTTAAAGACACAGACCCAGTTGAAAACCTTCTAAAATCAGGAAGTCAGGAGCAGATTCCAGCAGAGAAGGATGAGAATTGTCCTGATAACAAGAACAGTATGCCGGTAAGGAGCTCTTCGCTTCATTTTTCACTAGTGTATCATGTTAAATAAATCTGTGTCTTGTTCTTCTCCATTCTCTTCATCCTCTAAGGTGTTTTTTTGGTACAGGGTAGAAAAGCCTGGCTGGTGTTAGGGAAGCAAGTGGGATGATTATTGCTTCCTCTCCCCTCCTGTAAAGATGAGTCAGACATTTTTAAGAATACCTTCTCTTTTCCTCTGTTCTTCACTGCTTGACAGCTTTGCTACATGGCTTTTAAGTAGGAAAGACAGTCCTCATGATTCATATAAAGAATGGCCTTTGCAGGTGGGAGATGGACCTGTAAAGAAGTCACAGCATCACATTTCAAGTGAGAAGGAGCTGAGGCAAATAGTGTGAAAACACCTTGTCTTAAAGGAGAACACCCTGATAAGGGTGGGTGGGGAATTTGTGGCAGCAGATTTGATACCTCTGAGGTTTGGTTCAGTGTTTATGCTCCTGAGTCCTGGGAGATGGGTCTCTTTCCCATGGGACAAGGTAGCTCACTCCTGGCTGAGGCTCCCACCTGCTCCCTGAGGACTGTAAGCAGCTCAGATGAAGAGGAGTTCAGGAAAGCAGCTAAAAATTTCTGACACAACCTAGAAAACGGACCAGATTCCTAAAAGAAAGCACAGAAGTTTGTGTTTTACAAGAATCTAGTTTTCTATAGGAATTTTGTGTCTGTGGGTTAAGACTGAACAATTTTCTGTTAAAAATCCTGACTGGGAAATGGGAGATTCTCTTGTGGGTTGCAAAACCAGGACAGCACTTATTAGATTTTTGTTATTGAGAATTGAGTAAAAGGTTCTTTGGGGAGTAGTTTTGTTCAAGACTAACAATTCAATACTCCACTGAGTGAAGTAAACTTTATCTGTATGTTGTATTGTTTCCAAATAAATCTTGTAGATCCCTGAAATAACAATAGTTTTACACTTTAATATCTGCTGGCTTTATTAAGGCTGACATCAGTGTAAATAGATAACTTTATGGAAAAAAATAAATCCTTGAAACGAAATAGTTCTCCTGAAACATAAGAAATAACTGCTACTGAAAAGCTGGTGGCATTATGGCTGAGCTGGTATTTCCTTTAATCAATGCAGTATCTCAGTAGCAAGCCTTAAAAATTAATTTAAGGTTTATTTATTTTCATACAGTTCAGTAATATGGAAAAATCTCTTTCACGTTTCCTCATTTAACAAATCTCATTCAACAAATTGTGGTGTGGAAACTTGTATGAGACTCAAGTGGCAGATAAAAAATAAACCCCCCTGTCAGGGAGTCCAGAGGAATGAACCTGTTGGAGCTGCCAGGGGTGTGGGTTTGGCAGGGGGGGTGATTGCTTGGGGTGCTGCCCAGGATTGAGGGCTGGTGGCTGGAACAATTATCTCCATTACCCAGAAGGAACTGAGTAACTGTGCTGGAGGCTGTTTGATGGCCACAGCTTCGCTGGCATCTGTGCTCAGTGCTGGCCTGAGCGTGGTGTCCAGGAGTCTCCACTACAATTGGAACATTCCTGTTACCTCAGCAGTGTCATTAAAAGCGGAGTTTGGAGGCTGAGGGGGCAGATTTCCAGAGTGGAAGACAGGCAGTTACCAAGTGGAACCTTGCTAATGGGAGCAAGCCCTTTGCAACAGGGGAAATCAGGAGATTTCACAGCACTTGTTCTGTGGTAGCCTCTGGTGCAAATATACGTGTCATGTGTTTGAGGAGTTCTCATTGAAAGCATGTTTTATACTAAAATACAAACATTTTGGATTGTTCATAGTAAAAAATCCTTGTGGAACAGTGGAGCAATCAGCACGCTTTTACCTAATGGATGATTAAATAGTTTGATGAAATTTCACAGAACACACTCCTTGTCATTAAGTGCAGGTTATAAAGTATTTGCTGAGAAATGTTAGAGAACATTATCAGAAGCTTATTGGAATTTGTTGTGTTCTTCTGTTTGCTAATTGAGTGTATTAGAGGATGGGTTGGGGGAGGGAGTTGGATGGGATTTGGGTTTGGCTTTCCTCCCTAGCAGTAGAATAGGTTTAATACCTATTGGCAAACTACAGTAATTCTCCTGAGTGCAGTTATCACTTGATTTCTGACTCTTCACAGCCAAGGAAGAAACAGGTTGTGATTTTTCCTCTGTCTAAACTTAACGTGGTTTGAGTTCAAGTATGTTTCTGGATCTTCACGGTTCAGAAACTGGTGATTATGTTTTGAAATCTAATTGTGGTTCTAAATTCCAGATTATTTTGAGAGGTTGGGCATTAATAACTGATTTGCTGTTGGGGATGCTGTTGGAGGTACAATGTGAATGAGAAAAGTATCTAATCAGAGGACGTGGCCAGCACTCCCAATTTCTTTAAGCAGTGCAAAAGTAGTATAATTGATACAGAGATTTCTGGATTGTCATATCTGAATTGAGGTTCAAGTGTCATTTAAATGACACTGGAAACAAGAGGCACATGAACATGCACAGCAGCACTGTGGTAGTTTTTGGGATCAGGAAGGTTTTGGTTCACCAGTCACTGTTGTCTCCCACATGTTAATCTTATCCAGGTCAAGTGACAACACACTAATTTGGAATTAGCTGGAATGCAGAGTCTGAAGTATGTTGCCTTTGTCCTTGGGTGGTGGGAAGGCAATACTATAAGGGCTGTCAGGAAATATTGACAACACATTAAAGATCTGAATTTATCTTGCAAGATAGTCCCTTATGGTTCTTATTATTAGGAACATTTCTTTTATTAAACCATAAAAGCCTTGTGGAAGGATGGAGGCTGGAGCATGAATACAGAGCTGTGTGCATCTCCTGTATGAGATAGGCAAGGCAAATGTTGTATTAAGGAGTGTAATTCTGATTTTGTTTTATGCTAATTACACAGATATCTCTGTCCTTTGGGGGAATTAGGTTAATTTTTTTACTTGGCAACTTGACATCTCTCTTTCTACAAGTTTCTTCCCTCCTTACTGGCACAAACCTTGGGTGCTCTCTCTCTTTCACAGCTTGAGTTCTCTGAAGCCTTTCTTTGCCTCCTCCCCAGCTCTTTTGGCCTTGGCAGGATTTACCTTTCTTTGTCTCCAAAATACGTGACATAATACTTTTAAATAGGTAAATGATCAGGTAGATTCTCTACTTTTGCACTGCCTCCATGTCCAATGGTGAAGCTATTTTTCCATCCGTCACCCTCTGCTGTTTCATGGAAAATTGCTGTCACTGCTCACTGATGGAGGACAGCAAGTAGCCAGAGCCCACACTGTTCCTTCCTTCAGTGGTACAGAGCTGTCTGTGGTGCTCAGGACTGTAGTCCTTAAGTGGACTTAAAACTGAGACCTAATTGAGCAGAAAGGGGAAAAGCTGAGTGTCCTCAGAACACCCTTTGTTCAGGTTTGTCGTGTTGTGCCTGTCCTCAGAAATGTCCAAATGGTACTTCAGAAATAGGGCTCCTTCACAAAGCCTTTCACACGTCTGAGTTTGCCATCTTGTGCCTGCCCTGTTTTTATGCAGCTTGTTTAGACAGCATGGGGATGATGGAGGAAGATCTGTAACAGCTCCACATCTTTCCTTTGCATTTAATTATGTGTGATCTGGTGAGGTCATTAGGGCAAAAATAAAGTAGGCAAATACTCCTACTGAAAGCCTGGATGTATATGATTACATGTGTTTGGTAAATGCTATCTTATTTCCCTTTTTATCGTGCAGTTGGAAATGGAGCATAATAGTTGGTCTTAAAAGTGGTTGTGTTTTTGTGGTTTTTTTTAAAAGACAAGAACCTAATCATTATTTTCATTATGCAATTATTTGGAATACTTGCTTTTAAACACTGTCTTGAAATCATGCCCATAATGACTATAAATAGGGCTTTCATTAACACAGTGTTTTCTCAAGGCAGTAGAAGTCTTTGAGAGCTGCAAATATGAAGAAATTGGTAATTTGCACTCACCAAGGATTGCATGTTCTAAATTAGCTATAAATTCTTTTTCACAAGTGGGGAACATAAAGATGCTCTGCAGGAGCAAAACCTAGTAAATGCAGAGAAATTAGGACAGAACTAAAATTCATGGGCCTGAAAAGAGAGAAAATGTTCATTAACAGCTACAACGTGCATTGGCTGCCTATTGTCCTGGAATTCCGGTCGAAATGGTGTCATCCTCTGTCCAAGAAAGGCATCACTGGATTGTGCCCAGTTATCTTCATGTTTTGAGGGTGCAGTGACAGGACAGGACTTTAGGGTTTGTACCTGCAGGCCCAGGCCTCTCACCATCAGCCTGTTCCCTGTGAGCTGTCCCAGCAGTCTGGCTATTTATTATTCCAGTGCTTCTTACCCAACCAGTGTGTGGTGCTCATTGGTCACAGTTACAGCTGGATGTGGAGGCTTTGCATTTCATGTTTTGGCATCCTGAAAGTCACACAGGAAAGCCAGGAATCCAGACCTGTCACAGGAGTGTTGGACAAGTTTGGATATGATGGGTGGGATGAAACTTGTCTCATGTGGAACGTTGAGGTTTGAGTCATTTCAGTCAAGGGAGAATCTCCCTCCTACAGTGGCCCCCTGGTGTTGTTAATGTTGGTTTAGTCCCTAAAAATTGTCAGGTCCTCATGAAACTGAGCATCAGAGTATTCCAGTACCTTAGTTTACTGCCCTGAATATCCTATATTGCCTTATTCTCCATAGGTTGCAAACACCTGTCATTAAAAAATTGACAGTGTGGGTGTTGGCTTTCCAGCCTGGAAACACAACTGTAATTCCCCAAGGAAAGCAGAAGATGAGACACAACATATGTAAAACACTTTAGGGAATGTACAACCAAACTTGTCCTGTTGTCATTGAAATATAAAACCCACATTAATTTAAAACATTCTTACGAAGAATTCAGATTTGATACCGGATCATTTCGATATCTCGATTAAATTTTGAGACATTTGCTTCACTTTGTGTGGTGTGAAACTGAAGTTTTGGCTGCAGTGGATTCCTGAGACTTGACTGAGGTAAAGTGAGGAGAGATCCGTGCTTTGTACAGATCTTGACTGAATTTAATTACAATATGGTTTCTCCTTTCCAGCAGCAATCTCTTCTCTGCTGTTTTTTTTAATGACTCTTAAAAATAACTGAAATGTGTGACTTATCTAATTAGTGAGCAGTAGCTTGTGTGTCAAGTTCTGGTTAACAGTATTGGGAATTCTCTTTGGCTGGTTTAAAGTGTCTGATACCCTGTATAACTAAGTTGGTTTCTCTCCCCTGTGCCCCCTCAAATGTTGGATCTGGGGTGTTTGCTTTCATATATTCTTTTGGGTTATATACTGGCTTCAAATCTTCCTAAATTTTGCAAAAGATGAACAATTGTCCAAGTGTGGATTCCTTTACTTCTGGACAGTGAACTGAGGACTCTGCTGGTAGTCCTGGTGTGATTTTTGAGTTTATGCTATTGGATTTAAATGCACCTCAGCTAATCGAGGCTGCAGTTATCCAGAGGAGGTTGGGAAATCATCCAGTTCTGGAAAGTTCAGTAGCTTGGTGTAACAGGAACTCTGTGAGGGATGCACAGAGTGCCAGCTTCCAGGATGCAGGGAGTGCTTTCAGCTGGGATGATGGAAAGGAAAATAGGATTTTGCAGGTAACAGCAAAACTCCAAACCTCTATATGGTTCCAGGTATGGAAACAGCAAAACTCAGAGTCTGACTTGTTCCAGGTCTGGAAGCATTTGAACTGTCTCTGCTGCTCAAAATCCCAGCAAGCTTCCTTTGAAAAGCTGCTGATGAGTTCAGTTAGTTTTCAGTGCAGCTATTTAAAATGCTGTTACACAGTGAAATGAGCTGAAATGAGCTTCCCTTCTGCTGCTCCTCAGCTGAGCTGCTGCAACACCCAAAATAGACATTTGGGACTTGAGGAAAATGAGGGAAGAAGCGGCTCTGCCTTACGTGCAGAGCTCTCTGCTGGAGGCCAGGTGTGCTCTTTAAGCAACACGTTCATCCTGCTAAGAGGCTCAGGCACTTGATAGACATCTCCTGAGGAGGGCTGGCTTCAGGGAGCTTTCCAATGGAGTTTCTATTTAGTTTCCTTCTGAAAGGATGAAATATTGTCCATTAAACAACATTTGAAATTATATTACCAATATTCTTTTCTCCTTACAAATATTAGGCCTGTGCTCTCTAAAACGAGTTCTATTAAAGGCTTCTCTATTCCTGAGTTTTAGTTCTCCAGGGAAACCAGTACTTAAATTATGTGATGCCACTCTAAGTGCTTCTATTCCTGTGTCACTGGCACAGAGGGTTGGGTTAGTTTTAACTGTGCAGCTAACAGATTGTTAAATGCTTTTGTTAGTTCAAATGTACCTTTCAGTCATACATCCTGTAGTAAAAGTCTGGTAATCTTTTCTTTTTTAAGGAACAGTAGTTATAGAAGGAGGGCTCTGAGAGGAAAAAGAGCAGATTAATGCATAATAAGGTACTAAAATGGCTCCGGGAGGAGAAAAAGCATATTAATGTATAGTAAGTTATTAAATGAAAGGCAAAAAATGACCAGTGGCTCATTTTAAAATATACTTTTATAGGTCCCAAGATAAAAGATAAAAACGCAACGTGTTTTAAGCTGCTTATGGTGGGTCATCAGCTGGTACCTGTTCCCTGGTAGAGGCAATGCTTTTTTTTTTTTTTTAAATGATCATTTCTCCAGGTAGGTTTCAGGAATAGAAAGAAAATTTATAAAAAGCATGTGATGTTGCCAAGGAAATTAGGACACAGGAATTTAAAATGTGGGAGCAGGCTGAGAGAGCGAACTGCCCGGATCCTGCTGAAGCAGAGTAATGCTTTCTTCCTGCTCTAGTCCTCATCAATGGAGAAGGGAAATCAAGGACGGGCCCAAAGAAAGTGGGAGAGGGTGTAATCCTGCAGGCCAAAGCACCTGCTGTTCCTGTCACAGAATTCTCAGTGATAACTGTCAAAGCTTTCTCTTGTACAGACTTTTGTTACCACACCTGTCGGTTGAGTTTAACCCACCCTTCTCTGTTGTGTTGTCCAGCGGCCCCTGCAGTCCTTTGGACAGGCAGCAAAGAGGTCCAAGGTACAGTAGCCCTGTGTTGGCATGCAGAGGGAGCCCTTCATGCTTGGGGAGCTTTGTTACTTTGTGGAAAGTGCCTTTAGTTTTATTTTCTGGCATCGTAGCTTTGTTTTATTCTGTTGGGTTTTTGTCGTGCCTAGTTGTCTGCTTTTGTGATTTGCCTTCATATTTTTAGTGGCTTTTTATTGTTATGGAGAGAAACACTTTTCCCAAACACTTTTATTTACTTTTCATTAGATGTGCTCTATTGTGCTGGTAGTGCCTTCAAAAGCTGCAATTGCTTGGGTGTTTTCATCCTAAAAGAATTATTTATTCTATTGAAAACATTAAAAATGCAGTTTTCAGCCATTTTGTTTTACATAAAATGAATGGAAAAATAACGGCTTATGGTGTATTTATATAACTTTTTATGAGCCATAGTTTTTAATTTTACATACTTTCCTTCAGTCAAACACAAAGTTAAAGTTAGTTCGGAGCCTTGCTGTATGTGAAGAGTATCCACCACCTCCCACAGCTGAAATATCACAGGACCTCCAGGTAAAAACCACATTACTGAAGTTTCTGAAACAATTTCAAGTAACTTGTTCAAAAGAAAATCTTTTGGGTATTCTTTAAATATGTGGGCACCACCTGGTTTTAATTTTTTTTTCATACAGCTCTAATAGAGGTGATCATGTCAGATGAAGAATTTGCTGCTTTTATGTTTTGCCGACTGTGCTGGTTGATATGTGGGGACAGGAAGAGGGGATTTGTTAGTTTAACTTTTTAGTCTTATAGTGCATTTGAAGGGCTCTTACCTGCTCAAGTGCTGTCTGCAATCAGTAAGCCAGAAACATTGTGATTAGTATGGAGCACAATTTATCAGCTTTTTGTATTTAGGAAATTGAAACAGTTGTAAGTTCTGGTGCTGTAGCTGAATTCCTGCATGTCAGCCACAGTTGCTGGTGGCTGTGTAACACCTGCCTGAGGTGTGTCTGAAGACTAATATATTAGGATGATGTAACACACCTAAAGAAGTTCTTACATGCTGAACAAAATATGTAAAAATACTTGAGAGAATTTAAACAAAATCCAATTTACCTGACTTTACCTTTATGCAAGTCTGGATCTTCAGAGCAAAATCCTTTTACTGGCTTTAGGTTGTATGTATGAATGAGGCCATTAAAGTGCTGCTGTTTTTTCACACCTGTCAAAACTGAAATGATCCTTTGCTGTTATTGAGAAGCTTCTAAACTCTCTTTTTGTGAAAACTCACTTTTGTTAAGAAGGAACCAGTAGAATAGCAGGTGTGAAGAGGTTTTGCTGGGGGAGTGGTTAATTCATTTCTGGGAAAGGATAGGCATTGAGAACTCATGTAGGTGTTTGTCAAGGTAGTTAAAATTCTTTTAGGATTGAAGCACAGAGTATCTAGATTTGTTTTTTTTTTTTCTTGGGGAAGATGAAAAAATAGTATTTTTGTAGGCCTTCAGTAATATACCACAATTTGAAGAGTTGAGTAGGGAAATTAAGAAACCAGGCCTGCTAATTTGATGAAAATCTTAAGTCATAGATTGGAACAGGCTGCAGAGCAAGAGATTAAAAGCCAACAGAAAAGCTAATGCTATTTACAATGACTTACATCCCTGTTGCAATGTTTTATGTAAGATAATAGGCTGAGGGATGTAGCTGGGGCTGAATTGTTTAGTCTGAAGCAGTGCGGTTTAACTTTTCCAGTCACAGTAGCCAATTACAAGAAGACAGAACCCTGATTTGGTGGATGGTTCATCCAGGGTGTATTTCAAACATGAGGCATTAGGCTTTTCCAGCCTCCAGCACTATGCAGGACTATGCATTGAGTGGTTTAAAATCAGACATTTGTAATAAGTGTTCTCTGCAGATGGCATTTGTCACCAAGTCCTCTGGGAATCTGTCCTTGGCTGTGCACTGCCAGGTGGTTGTGGAAAGGAATTATTGTGGAAGTAGGAGGGAGGTAAAGGCCTGTTCTGCAGAATGAATTGAATTGTGATAATGTAAGATGGTACAAAAGGAATCCATAAAGCAAATTGCCTGTTCAGAAACAGAATTAGATCTAACTGTGAGTTTTCTTTAGAAGCAGTAATCTGGAAGAAATGGCTTATGAATCCCAATAGCTGTGCAAGTGATTGTGAGAACAAATTTAGTTCTCTATAGAGTGGAGAAATGCTTGTTGGAGGGTTAGAATGGGAATTTGTTACAAGTTCTGATGCTGGAGTGCACATCCTATGGGACACAAGTCTTACATGCCCTCTGTAACAACCCACACAGGCAATTTCTTCACCCGTTTTGCCTTGTTTCCCAAACAATCTTTGGGAAGGCATGGAAGAGTCCTTCCATAAGCACCAGTCGGCTGCTGGCTGCCTCAAGCCCCCCAGTCTGAGGCACAACATTAGTTGTGCTTGGGACGTGTGAGGGATGCAGTGGCTCAGAGAAGGGAGACAGCCCTCCCTGGCAGCAGGGAAGTCACCTCTGTGATGCTTCCCCTTGCTGGAAGAGTCACTGCTCTGTTGTAATCAGAGGTTGCAACTGAAAAGTGGCTCCCAGCTTTGTGTTAATACTTAAAATGGATTTTAAGACGCAGAGAAAAAAAAAAACATGTTGATGTTGCTGATGATATTTGAAGAATCCCAATTTTTGATTATTAGAAAGTGTAGCCTTGATAGGATGAAAAATGCATATGGTCAACTAGGAACTGGTGTGAGTTTTGGGATAACTTTGTAGTTGTGCCTGTGACTGTCCACCAGTCAGCCCTTCCACCCCAGTGTGTGCAGCAGCTCCAGCGGGGTGAAGTTCTAACACAGGTGTGTGTAGAAGTCACTTTAGCAAGAACCTGCTGCCATTGCTGGCTGCTCCTGTTTTAAGGCTGTGATGGCAGACAGAGCAAAGGAACTCTCTGGAGCAGATCAATCTGTTTTTCTGATACACGAGTTTGTATTTTCCTGAGTAATTGCAACAGGACACAAGATACTGTTCCTCGCTGAGAAACCCAGGTAAGAGCCTCACAAATTGTTAATCCTTGTTAAAAAGCACTGGCAGTCCTTTAGTTAAAGGTGCTGTGAAAGTACAAGCTTATACATTTATTGTGAGAGGAAGAATGAAACTGATACATTTGATCTTTTATCTTTGTAAATACAGTATCTATTCTCTTGCCATCCCTTGCCTAAATGTTGGGTTGTTCTGACTGTGCACTCCAGTAGGAAGTACAAGCACTAGCAAAGGATGATCCCTTTCAGTCCTTTTTAAGGAAGGGCTGTTTTCATATGAATTACAGTTATTAATGTGAGTGACCTTTTTTTATTTAGAAAAAAAAGACAACCTAAAGGAGGGTGAGTGGGAGGAGAAGACAAGGATCTGTCATGTTAGTTTCTATTGACTTGTGTAAATTCAGGTTGGTGTTGGCTTTGGAGATTGCTGGTAAAAAGCCAAGACCCTGGAACACAGGGCTTTGAGAAATATTCCATAATGTTTCCTGATTCTCACCTTTTTTCCAAAATGTGTTAAACTGAAAGAATTTATCAGGTTTTCATGGTTGGGGGGGGGTGTGCTTTGCTTTTTCTTGTTTAATCAAAATGTGGTGACAATATCCTCTGCTACAGTGAAGGCTTGGGATGGGTGATCTGATTCTGTTCAGTCCCAATGCCAGCAGAGACCTGCTGCAAGCAGGATGGGATTAGGAGAGTTTTATAGGGGAAGAGAAGTTAAAAGATTTCTCGGCAGCTTTGCAGTCAAGTAGGTCATATTTAATTAGATGCTACAGTTTTTATAGCATGAAATCACAAGAAAGTGCCCTTTGGTGCACAGTTCTGGTGTATCACACTTTGAAGTAGAACTGGTGTAGTAGCAGAACTGGCTGTTCAGATGGTGATTCCTTTTTTAGCTCCTGTTGGGGAAAGAAGTATGAAAATGATTACTTGCTGAGATCCTTTGACTGAACCATTGCTGTGTGCATTGACTGGAGATGAGTTTAGAACATGCACTCAATCAGTTTTCTAGTGAAGGAACATCAGACTATGAAAATTTCCCTAATTTACTGGTAGTTTTGTAGAGTGTTGTTGTAAAAGGGAGGATAACACGTAGATGGATGGTCAGGAATAATTTCTTAATAAGACAGAAACATGTTTGTTTTTCAAATAACAATTACACAGCTCCTGGGTGAACAGTGAGTGTAATGCACTTTGGAGTGACAATAAACTGCTCATTTGAATTATATTCAGGTTTATGAGGTAAGGAATGCTCAAGACTAGGAAAGAATTCCACAAGAGAGTTCCTTACTAGTGCCTGTGATGGTATTTATCAGGTGTGGTTATAGAGGATCTCACAAGCTGAGAAGTCTTCACACTGTGGTGCTGTGTTGGGGTGTTCATGAATTCCTAAGTTTAATTAGAACATTTAGTGTGGGGGAAAATCTCTCAAAGGGAGAGGTGGTAAAACTGTCAATGAATGTTTTTTCCTCATTGGAAGAAGTTGTTGCTCCAAAGCTGCAGATGGAAAGTCCTGCAGATGGAAAGTGCTGTTTGACCCCCGTGGGATCTGTGCAGGGTTCCCATTGTGCTGCACAGGCAGGAGTGGCTCAGGGTGGACATGTGGAACAGGCTCCAGCCTTGGAGAATCCGGACTATATTTAACTCTGGCCAGATTCCAGGGCTGAGGTCAAGCCTGTGCAATGACACAGGAGGAGAGAAGCTCAGAGCAAGTGCCTGGATGTGGGTGCGAAAGGGTTTGAAGGAAGAGCGAGATCTGCGTGGGAAAGGATCAGGTGCAGGGCAGGAGAGGGATGGGCGAGAATGGACGAGGGGCAGGATCTTTGCGTTGGGAAGGGTCGGATGTCCTCGGGATGGGAAGGTGACAGCATCCACTCAGCTGGCATCTGGGGGAGCAGAACTGACGTTTGAGGGAGTTCAGAGGTAACAGGGGAGTCTCTGGCAGGACTTTGCCAGTCCTGCTCTTGGAGTCACTCAGACACAGAGTCTCCATCGCTCCAAAGCTCCCCTGGCTTTGCTGTCTGAAGGACGTCAGCCCTTCACTGACAATCCTGGGAAAGAGTAAAGCAGGAAAAACAAACTGCAGTCTTTCACTACTCGGGGAACCATTATGTCACTAATTTCAAAGGGAAACTCTTTTTGCTGTGTTTGAGAAACAGGTTTTATGATGGTTCACCTGCTTGTATAAAACCAGGGATTTTGAGATGATTGCACACAAAGCTCCTCTGTCAAAATACACAGCAAGTTGAGGATGTAAGCCTTGATGACAGGTTTGCAAATTTTGCCTTGATATATTGTACTGGAAATATTTCCCCTATTTTTTGTGGATCTGGAAATGCTGGTCTGTCTTAGATTGAAACTTTTTTTTTTTTTTCCTTCTTGGTATAAACCAAATTGAAACTTGAAACAAGCTTTCATAGTAAAAAACAATGAATGGGGGGAAAAAGCATTGTGGATGATGCATTACTAAAACACAGGGGCTGTATAAAATTTATACACCTGAAAAACTGGAATCTTTTCTTATGTGTATGAATTAAGATAGTTTATATTCATTTTGCAATAGCATTTGGGGCCTGGAAGTGTGTGTAAATCTAAAATGTGTGTGGTCCTTTCTCTACCTTTTCTGTACTTTTTGATTTACTAATAAATAATTTTGTTGTGTGGTGACACAGAGCACATGTGGGATTAAAAAGAATATGAAGAAAATTTTTTTTCTTCATTGTTCTGCAGGTAATATAGTACAGAACAGTTCTTCTTCAGGTATTGCATGAAATGATTTGTGTGGTGACTGGTTTTTACTTTTGACAGGAGAAAATTCAGATCCAGTTGTCACAGTCCTTTGAAAAAGAAGAAAAACCTGCAAAAGATGAATCAGAAAAGGAAAAATCCAGTGATAAACTGTCCAGAAAAATGTTATCAAGAGGTTTGCTATCTGTCATTGTCCTTTTAAATGTACTGTGTAGATAAAGAACATATGGAAATGCAGTTCTGCTTCTGGGTCTGCATTGCAGAAACATTGTTTTGTTTTTTGGTGGGTTTTTTTGTGAAAATGAAGCAAATAGATCTCCCTTTGAGCTGGAGAAGGGAGTTGGTCCCAGAGGACACGGTGCTTTCAAGGCTCCATCAAACATATGCAATCCAGCAAATGCTTTTCCTTTCTCTCCTGCCTGGCTGTGCAGACCAGCAGCAAAGCTGTTGTGTTGCCTCAGTTGTGTCCAGGTGTTCCTTGGAAAACTGACTTTACCAGTTAGTGCAAGCTCCTGTCTTACTCCTAGACTTTGTTACAGGACTTGTGAAACCTCAGTGAGAATGGCACAGCCACCTTTGTACTGTTTCTGAGCTTTATTCAAAAGAAGTCCGTGTTCTCGTTTGTTTATTTTACTTCTGAGAGTATCAGAATTTTTTTACAAAGTTTTGGAGTGAGGGTGGAACTACATAAATAAAAAGGACAAGTATTGTGTTTCCACTTAGATATTATTGCATTCTGCATTGAAGATCTAGTCTATCTGCTGGAAATCTTTAGGTTTTAGTCTGAAAGAGAGCTAAATATCTTAGATCACACAGTGTAAAGGAAATACCTTTAAAGACAGACTTCTCTTTGGGACAGGGGGCACTTGTTCCCCTCCTGTCCTGCAGTTCCACATGACCTTCCTCATGTGGCATTTCAGTGCAGCTTGTCCCAGCTGGCAGCCAGGTATTCCTGAAATCAAAAGCACTGGGATGGAGAACTTCACCTGTATTTATAAATCTCAGTCTTGAAATGATGCCTTAAAAAACCCACAAATACCCCCCAGGTAATGATGAGGAGTTGAGAGCAAAGTGACAAAATGCCTGTGGTAGAGCTGTTCTAAATTCAACCAGTATCTCCTCTGGAGGTTCATTACTTCCCAATATAGGATGTGCTAAAATAGAAAATTATGGAATTTAAGCATCAGTCTTCTAGTAATTATAACTAAATCAGTGCTCAGTTGCAAATTAAGAAAATTAAATAATCATTGAATCTCAAAGTTATTTTACCAGGCATAGCATTTTTTTTTCTTCACCTCCTCAGAATCAAGAGTAATCCCAAACTATAAATGCTCAGACTGGGACCTAAGCATAAGTTTGAGTTGTGCCTAACTAAGCTAAGACTAGGTTAACACATAAGTAGTTCTTGCAAGAAATCTAGTTCCAAAAATACTGTTAAAACATCTGTTGGTTTGAGTTCTAGAACCTGGCACTTGAAGGTGCTCATGTAAGGGAAGATTTGGTGTTAAATCATTTCTTTCAGGGGCAGATTTTAGAGGATAGTGTGTAACTTCAAATACTTTCTGTCACTGAAACCTGAAAGGAGAGGAAGGTTGTGAGATTCATTTTGGAAAACATCTAAACATGACATTGAGAAAACAAAGCCCAACAGAACAAGGGTTTTTAGTGATATAAAACAACATTTTGTGAAGGTTAAACTGTCACATTCTGAGTTACAATATTTCTTTGGGCTACATCCAGTAGTTCTGTAGATTGGCTGCTGCTGGTCCACAGGTGTGAACACACCAGGACAATGTAGGATACTGAGGGAATGTAGAAGGCTGGTGGAAATCAGGTGTCTCAAGGTGATCTACTGCAATCTACAGCCAGTTGTTAAGAGATTAGCGGTGTCACTGAAGCTTTTCCTTCCCTATTATACTGGAATCAGGGGATAGTGGGTGGAAGTGTTTAATTTTGGGAATAATGTGCTTAACAGTTACATAGTATTGATCCAAATACATATTATGTTCAGCAATAATTGGAAAAAAGTTGTATTAGTGTTTCTTCAGAGTGTAATTTTGCTTTCTTCCCCCTCACCCTTAGATTCCAGCCAAGAATATACAGATTCCACTGGTATAGATCTTCACGAGTTTTTAGTAAATACATTAAAAAACAATCCCAGGTAAGAATCAGTAATGTCAACTTTCTTCATGTTTTTCTTTCTTCTTGTTGCCTGAGGTGTCACACTACCTGGTTTTTGTTTGTGGTTTTATTTTTTTCCCCTCTCACATGTCTAATACCACATGTCAGTTCTTCAGGAAGAGGTTTTGTTGCACAGGCCATCTCAAACACTGATCCACTGTAATTGGGGTGTTTTTTGAGCACAGGTTCAGGACATTGAAATATGCTTTTCATGTTTAATATGCAAATAATGTGTTCAGTCTGTGTGTGGTTCTCTCCCTGAAGGGACTCTAATGCAGTGTCTCTGGAACTTGTACTCTCTAAGCACCTGCTTGTTTGAGACCAAACTGCCTTCTCTGACTGTAATCTGTCTTGCACTGAATTTGTAGATAAAGGCATTGTTTTTAAGCTGTACTATATAACTATAGTTAGAGATCTTCACTCTGCACATCAGAAACCAAATCTGACCTCATCCAAGTCCACCGTTGGTTAGCAACAGAGTTTACCTGGCTCTGTGTTGAGGTTTGCAGTGTGTCACAGGCTGCCTTGGTTGTCCTTCCCCTCAGGGGGGTTTTGTACTGGGTTTGTGGCTGTACAAGGCCAGAGATTAACTGGGTGCAATTGTGTTCTGTCACAAAAGCTGTTTCACTGCTCTTTGTTATTCATTTGTATTATAGTTAGGAATTCCAATGCAATAATTTATTGGGATTCCATTTTATTGGCAAAAATTTTTAAAATGAGCCATAATAATGGGCCAAAGCCATAGTCCTGTAAAATTAGAAAGGCAGACCTCTGTGAGACTCTTAGGTGGTTCCTATTTCAAGTCATAAAGCATCCCATAAAGTGGAAATAAGGAGTTGTAGGTGTAGATCTCTGTGGGTTTACATGCAGAGTAACTGGGAAGCTTAGTTCTGTGATGTGCACAAATTGTGAACTGTGCAGCAGTGAATTCCATTGCCTGTTGATGGTTCAGCTGAACCAGCATAAGCAGTTCCAAGAACAGTGTTCATTTCTACCACCTTTGCATTTTCAATTCCTCATCACATTGCTCCATGTGCCACCTTTAACCCCCTGGTCGTTGGTGTTATGCCTCCCGTTCCCAGAGCCCTGTCACTATGTCTCAGTGATCCCAGGATGTGCTCCCAGTCCAAGGGCCAGCTGAGGCCTCTGCAAATCTCACTGCCCACACAAACCAACCTCAGCACTGCTTTTCCTCCTGGAGCCTGTTTTCTCAGGGACTGTACTCTCTGTTGAGCCTCCTGGGCAGAGACTTCTTGGAGGGTCTTTGTGCTCTGATTTCTGAGCTGAGAACAGCACGTTTCACTAGGCAGGCTCAAGTCAATATAGCTTAGCAAAAAAAGAATACTTTGTCCTAAAAATGCTGCCTTTGACACCTGGTGGTCCTGTTTACAGTCTGCCATCACCCCTTGATCACAGCTCTGATCTGTGTATTCCTAAGATGAGTACAACCACAGTTATTGGAGTGTCTCATATGTGAGTTGCTGTGTTTTTATTTTCAGGGACAGAATGATGCTGCTGAAATTAGAACAGGAAATTTTAGATTTCATTGGTAATAATGAGTAAGTACTGTACTCTCATAGGAAAAAAGAATTCAAGAGTGTTCCTGTTTATTTAATAAAGCTACTATTCCTTTCTTCCAGAGTTCCAAGAAAAAAGTTTCCCCCAATGACATCTTACCATAGAATGCTGTTGCACAGGGTAGCTGCTTACTTTGGATTAGAGCACAACGTGGACCAGAGTGGGAAGTCAGTCATAGTAAATAAAACTAGCAATACAAGAATGTAAGTGTAAAAGTCTTGAAAAAACCATTTTGATGCATAGATCTGACACCTGGATTATCTGATGCAGTGGTGCTGTAGCAGGTGGGGTCTGTCTCCTCACTGGGAACAGGCATCAAGGAGAGGTGGTTGTGAGATCTTTACGGTTCATGTTCCAGTGCTGTGTAATAATGTCATCTGTTTCATGTTTAACTCTTCTGGGGAACAAGGGATGTTACCTCTAAGTTAGGAATTTTTGTTGCTTTTCTGGCAGAGGTGCATTGCTAACTTTATTCCTGTGAGATACGAATTTATATCAACTGTTTATTTGTTTAAAGATTTACACCAGTGAAGTGTACAAAGTACATTCTTTGTTTCTTTTGGAAAGCAGAACGAGCCTTATCTTAGAATGGGTGAAGGGAGAGGATAAGACTTGCACAACTTTGGCTTTGGTACTGTAAAATTCTACAGGGAAAATTCAGGTGTTGAAGTTCTTTATCAGTTGGAGTAAAGTTGCTTACGGATCTCACATGTCCTTACAAATAAACACAGCAGGGAGGACAGGCAGCACTGGAAGTGTCAACCAGATTAACAAACCATGGTATGGTGCTTTTCTGTGAGGGCTGGGGCATTCTTGGAAAACCCCCTGGGAAAACCCATATTGCAAGAATAGGGGAGCACTGGGGCCACAGCAACCCCAAAACCTGGGTGGAATTGAGGTTTTCATTCAAAGGAGCCACCTGTTCTCTCTGCTCTCTGCACTTGCTCTGTCTTCTCATTCTCTTTCAGAAAGACAAAAGTCTAATGTGTTGACATATTTATGCCACCTAGTTTCTAGTTTTAACTTAAAGAACTTGACTGACACCGTTTTTTTTGTGGTTTTGAACATGAAAACAGGAGTTGACAGTGCCTGCATCCTAATCCCAGTCTCTTTGTACACTCTCTGTAGCTTTGGGAGAAAAAAATCTAATTATCCACCCTAGTTTTAGAGTCAGTAGAACTGAAATGATATGCCACGATGAAATTTCACTTAAGTAGACAATTTCTCCTCAGAAGTTTTTAGAAAAATACATAGAGCCTAAATATACGATATTTATGTATGTGTTTGCTTTGGCTGTACATTCTATATCTAAACTGACTTAGAAAGCCAGGCATTTCTAATCTGTTGCCTTTGCATCTGCTAGCATCTCTAGACTGAAGCTTCAATTGTGGAATAAGAACTAATGAAAGATTGTTTCATTTTTATGGCTTTTAGTCCGTATTTAAATAGCCTCTGAAAGCCCCTGTAGGTGTAGTTACTAATTAGCAGGCATTTCATCTAACCTGCAGACATAAGGATTCTTGATGTTTTCAACATTCTTATTTTAAATCTCTTTGGATATAAAATAAGAATTTAGCAAGAAAACCTGGGAGATGTGCTCCATGTGGAATAAAGCCCAACTTACCTTTTCCTCATAGGCAGGTCCCGGCTCCATCGCCGCTCAGTGATGTTTCTGACATCAACCACCCAGTGCTCACTGGGACGACTCAGTGGAGTGGGAGTTGGTGATTGCAGGGCAGTAAATTCAGAGACCTTTAAAAGAAAGAGGTAAGACAGTCTAAAGGTTCTCTGAAATGCCTGCTAATTATGCCTGGGCAGCCAGTAACTAATAGGTAGGGCTGGCTGTTCTGTAGAAAAGCTCTCCTTGCTCTACCCAGGTAATAAATAAATAACAGAAACAGAGGAGAGTGTACATTTGTTTTGTCTTCTATTGGGCAAATATTTCCTGATTGTCTGAGCTTTTCTCTTATGACAGCAGAAATTTTATTGTCCAGGAACTTGGTATCTCTTTTTAATAACAGGAGTTTGCAAAAGAATCACTTTTTCTTTCACAAAGTAGATAAAATATCAAAGCAATATCTATAATCTGTTACTTCGCCCTCTCCCTATGATCGTGTGAAGCTCTTGCTTGCCTGCATTGTACTGTTCTTCTCCTACTTATTTCTACTTAATTGTGTTTTAGAAGTTTCTGAGTTTCAATGTTCTCTATCTTGTCTTCTGTTTTCCCTTGCAATGAACTTTGAGGTATTGCAGCTCTAGCAGCAAACACTTGTCTGCACTTCCATGCATGCCCAATATCCATTGCATGGCACCAGTTGGGATTCCAGAGCACTTCTGATTCCCCAAGGGCATGTGGTTTGCTTGCCACCTTAACTGGAAATTGCAGAAAAAGCTTTGAAGGAGGAAGAGGTTTTTAAGAGCAGGTTTGTTATGCCTCAGGAACAGGACTTGTCAGGGGTGCACCTCATCTTTTCCATTGCCTGGACAGCCCAAATCTGTGACTTCAGTTAGAATATTAAGTATATTTAACATTATTCTTGAGTATATTTTGGTTTGCTCCACTTTGTCCAGTATATGTTTACAAAACCACACATCTTTTCTTTGTGACACCTTTTCCCAGACCTGACCAAAAGTTTTGTGAGCACATAAAGGACGAGAAGAGCGATGACTTCCAGAAGCGGTACATCCTTAAAAGAGATAACTCGAGTTTAGACAAAGATGACAACCAGGTAAAAGGCCCAGCTTATTTCCTTCCCCTTGCTGCATTTGACTGTATCCATACTATTTTCCTGTAGAAGTTGACACTGTATCACTCACTTTAGATGAGGATACGATTAAAAGATGACAGAAGAAGTAAATCCATAGAAGAACGTGAAGAGGAATATCAGAGAGCTAGAGAAAGAATATTTGCACAAGATGTATGTATCAAAGAAAACCTTTCACTGTGTTCTGTGAGTACTTCACACACATACGTGCACGTGTGGGTTTGTTAAAGGATACTTCTTTCCAGGAAACTTTCTGTTTCCAAAGAGGACTGAGCAGATAAGAATCATTAGTGTGCTCTAAGTGAGTTTTAAATTACATTGAAGTTACTGAGAAATCTTGTTTTCTCTAATCACTGCTGTGTGAAACCCAAGAGACCTTCAAGAACTATTTTGATGTGTTCTCTGGCACCACCTCCTTCAATGCACTTCCCCCTTTTGCATTGTTTTGCCCCCTTACTGCAATTTAAATTCCAGAGTTCTGGTACTGCAATCAGTTCAGTTGTTGCTCAGAGCAATAATTAAAGAAGGAAAAAAACAAGCAAAAAACCCCAAACCCTTTTGTCACTTGTATCTGTAGCAATCACATTTTAAGTGATCACAGTAAAACCATTTCAGGTCCCCTGTGTGAAATTGCAGTCAGGAATCTCCAGTCTAATCCCTGACTGGAGATACCCAGCAGGAAACCTTGTAAGCTGCAATTCAATTGCAAGGAGTGATTATGTTGACTAAAACAGTACAAATATGTCTTAAATGTTTTACTTTTCATAATCCACATTTTCTGACATTTATCTGTAGCTCCTGCACATCCAAACCCACATTCTTATTCTGAAGAGAGAATAATGAGCTGTGAGAGCCTAATTTATTTCTTTTTGTTCACCTTAGCTACAAACAAAAAGAGTGGGCTTTTGAATATAAAATTACCTTTTCCTTAGGAATATTAATTTACCATGTGTATATAATTTACCATTTACCATAGGAGGGGTTCTAGATGCCATTCATATTAATTTCTGCGCTTCTTTGCCCCTCAGTCCCTGTGTTCCCAAGAGAATTATTTCACTGACAAAAGGTAAGAAAATTTGCCGTTTAATTCTGTTTTGTTTTCCTATTTTCTTAATAAATATTAAGCTGTCTTATTAAAATGTCAACAGAATCCAGGAGGAAGAAGCTAATAGTACACAGCAAAGACGACAGATACTTAGGTATTTGATGCTTTCTTTAAACCAATAACCCCCCAGTGTTCTGCATGCATTTCACCTTTTCGTTCTTGGTTTTCTTTCTTTTTTTTTTTCTTTTCCCTTATTTTGCAACTGGTGCTAAAAGCTGAGTTTATAAATTGCAGGATCAATAAGGAGACATCAGGGAGATCAGCCAACAGCCACCAGAGCAGCACTGAGAACGAGCTGAAGTGCTGCGAGCCCCGGCCCTGGAGCAGCACCGACTCCGACAGCTCCCTGCGCAACCTGAAGCCGGCGGTGACCAAAGCCAGCAGCTTCAGTGGCATCTCAGTGCTCACCAGGGGAGACAGCTCTGGGAGCAGCAAGAGCACAGGCAGGCTGTCCAAGACAGGTACAACAAAGTCTGTACAAATCCATGGCTCCATGGGGGTTTGATCCACTTGGGAAGCAGAGTTTTCAAGTGCGTTGTAGGTGGCTTGAAGCCGAGTGTGTTTCGTCTCGTGCAAAGGGCTGGAGAACATTGATCACCCTAAATTTCGATGTATAAAATACTTGGAGTTCAACTCCACAGTTCCAGTGTGGCAAAGCTGCACTGTGCAGCCTTAGGAAACTGCACAGCTATACTGCTAGCTCAGATAAAACAGCACTAAAGCCTAGGAATTGGTAGTTATATTTATTGTGTTATCTTTCTTCTGTTAAATTGCATTGCATATGGTTAAAATGCCCTTTCAGTTTTTAGGTTGCTGAGAAATGAGGTCAGTGGAACAAAGTGTACTGTTAAATTTTAAGGTTAGAAAATGTGAGGCAAAAAAACTCCTCTAAGAGTCTGGGTTTCAGAGATCTGTTAACTTGCAATTAATGTGAAAACAAAATCTCAGAAGATATGGATATGAATCTTTTGTGGGTCAAAAATGAAATGTAATAAATATTTGTATTCCAAATGCCAACATAATTTGATCTGATCTCTAATCTCGTTGTGGAGAATTTCAGGGTTTGTAATACGTGGATGGGTTACTGATGGACTGCTTCAGAATTTGAATTAGAACTGTAAAAAAATCAGAATATAATTGTATGCCTTAATAATGTTGGCTTTGATCTTATTTATAAAATTTGTTTCTAATAAGGATCTGTTCAAATTTTTTTGCTTTCCCTTAAACCACCACTACTTTTTAGGTATATTGCCACACTGCTCTATCTTAATGCAGTAAAACAGTTACAAATTAATCCATTGTATGCTTGTATAAAAAAATTAGATTTCAAGTTATCTCTGCATGTGCTGTAAAACTGTGCCATCACATGGAGTTATTTCATTTAGCAGTGCAGTAATGCTATTTGGCACAGCTTGAAAAGCAACTGCAACCTGACAATGTAGATATAAAATACATTCTTAGAAATATTTGTTGCCTAAATTTCAAGAACATAAATGGGATTCTTAAAAATTTGCTGGAAACTTTATTTTGGCATTCCGAGAACATTCCAGGTTTGGAATGCCCGCCTGCATGGTTGTTGCTTCACTGCAGTTCCAGGTTGTGGTGATTTGGCACGTGTTGAGCTTGGGTTGGTTTGTTCATTTGGATCAAGGATGTCATTGCCTTTGGTTCCAATGGCTTTGGCCTGACTTCTCTACATAATCTAGAAGGGGATACACTTGGAAACTAATCCAATCAAAGTAACTCTGGTCAGGGGAAGGAAGATGGTTTGACAGAGCTGGGATGTGCTCTTTTGCCCAGTTTACAATTAATACCTTTGATTTTCGCTTCGTTCAGCAATAGAAAGAGGCCAGTAGCATCAGCCAATGCTTCAAGCTGTGCTGTCTTCATCAGTACAAGTAGAGGGGTTACAATTTTATGAAGGACTGCAAAGTAACTTCAAACTATAGAGAAATTCCATCAGAGTGCTTTGAGTCTTCCTTTCTCTTCTAGATTGTATAGAGGCTGCTAATGAGGAGTTCTTTAATTTAAACAACTATATTGTGTTTGCAAGTACTGCAAGAATCATACACTTCTTATGAAGTCTTTGCTAAACTGTATACCTTGAGCTCTAGATGTACAGTGATCTGGGAACAGCAGTTCCACAGACCTCTCCATATTGGACTTTTGGAATATTGCTTTTAGCTGCATGTGTTGGCTTTCAGGAAGCTCAGGGTCTTGTTCTCCACTGCCTTGCAATGTTTATAGTCATTCACAGCTGTAAAATGATTATTGCTTTCAATTGGCTATTTGATACTCTTTTGGAAATTTGATTTTTTTCATAAAGCCAGGCTAAAACTTCCATATTACACTAATTTTTTCTAGATGTATTTCTGATTTCAGTCTCAAAGTTGTCAGAGGAGGAAAAAAATAGTTTTGTGTTTTTTAGTGTTCTGCAAATTGTCCAACAGGTGAGTCAGAGAAGATCTCTGATGCCAGTAGTAAAAAGCAGCTGGTCCTTGCTTACCTACATGTTCTATGTGTGCAGAGCACGTGGATTTAGCCCATGTATCCACAGGGATCTGCTGGATCTGCATTGCCCCTGATTGCATAGGTGCAGCAGCTGTATGTCCATCTCCTTGATGTGTCCCATCCACATACGTGCATCCATCATTCTGGAGTAGTGACCAATTCCTTATAGGAACTCTGGATGTACAGACATGTATTTTCTGACCACAAAACCACTTCTAGATATGAAAGCTCCCTTTGCAGTGCAAAGCAGTGCTGAACTGACCCTTGGGGCACAGAAGGGACGTTGTAATGTATTTCAGATGGAGGGGGAGTTCATTGAAAGGGCGCTGTTGAATCATGTGCTTAATGCTGAGCTTGTAAGTGCTCACCCTTATAGTGTATATTTTAAGTGAGCATGATGTTTCTGTCTGTAGGTAAAACCCTTTCTCGTTACTCCTTTCCCAGGTTCAGAGTCTTCTAGTAGTGTAGGGTCCTCCACGGGTTCTCTTTCCCACACCCAGCAGCCTGTCCCCGTGCCAGCTCTAAGCCAGCCCTCTCCTGGCACTCCTGCCGTCTATCCAGCTGCCAGCACTAGTAACTCTCTTTCCTTTGATGGTGGCATGAGTGGCCAAGTGGCACCTGCTGGCAGTAGCTTCTTTCTGCTTCCCTTGGAAGCGGCGGGCATCCCGCCGGGCAGCGTGCTGGTCAACCCCCAAACAGGTTGGTAGCGCTCGGGGGGTCTGTCACACTGACAACTGGGGACATGCACGAGTGTTTGCAAAGACTCACCCTCAGTGTTGTCCTGTGTCCTTTCTTTTCCTCTTCATTTTTTTCCTGTGGTTGTGTTCGTTCAGTGCACTTGATTTACCAAGAAAGCATGACTGTGGGATCAAAGGGATAAGGAAACTCCCGTGATTTTCTGTAGGAGAGTTTTAACTTATGTGTGACATTTTAATGAGTGACTTGCACAAAATGTGAAAATCCAATGGTTTATTATCCAGAACACAGAATAACTTAAATTATTGTTTCAGATCTTTTCAGGAGAGGGAAAAGTCTGTTTCAGGGAGGGGATAGAGCCTGAGAAAGGATTCACATTGACTGGCAAGGATTTATCATCCTTCATTTCTTTTGGCGCTACATATTCTTGTGTCCCTGTGCTCATGGCTCTGATTTAATACAAGTGAGAGAGAGAACCATGAGCTGACCTGCTATTTCTAAACTTCTGTTGTCTGTTTAAAACAGGATTAAATCAATGTTGATGTAATTGGCCAATCCTGATATTTTTAGTGAGCAGTGGGAAATGGATACTCCATAATGTAGGTGCAAGGAGATATGTGACTACTTGTCTGGATGAAATGAGGAGTTAGAATTCTCTGGGCAAACTTTTACTTTATTGTAGAAATTAAGGAAAGCTTGAAAATTTTAATTTACCTTCTATGTCAAACATAATTTTTGGAAATTATTATATTTTAATTTTAGTTTAATGATTTGTTTTCATGGCAGAAAAGAAAGTGCCTCAGGATATGTTTACCATCATCCTGTAGATGGACTTTATTATGTTTGAATGTAACTGCGCATGATGTTGTAAACTAAATGTTTCTGATTGGGGTTGTTAAGATGATCAGTTAGTAAATAACTTCTATAATTAGAAGATTTAACAAAGAAATAGATAAATTTCTCTTTCTCCATAATATGAATCAATTTCTTAAAATTTGATTACAAATGAGTTGCTGTAGGACCTAATTTTCATAGATAGCCATTGAATTTGTCATCTCAGAGCTGGGTTCATTAATAGTCTTTTATAATTATGTTAATGTCTAATGAGTGTCTAATAGAAGGTAAAGTGCACGTTAAGAATAAGGAACGTTAAGGTGCAGATAAACTTGGATTTATGATGTACTGGATTGTCATATTCTGTAGTTGTTCCTTGGCTTTAATGTTTCCAATGACAGCTGGAGTTCAACAAACACAGTCTGGTTTCTCAGCATTTCTGACAGAGCATCCCATGGCCTGGGTCAGCAGAGTCATTCTGCTCAGGAGTTGAAGAGGGTAATTAGGAAAAGACAGCTCGTACTGAGCCGCTCCAAGGAACAAGTGAAGCTCTGGTGGGGAGCAGAAAGTGAGAGAGGGAAATAGGCAAATCTGACTCCCTGTTTCTGTGAACGTTCCCAATCCCTGGGTGTTACAGAGACACCTGTTAAGCTGAATTGAATCTCCCTTAATCACCTGCAGTCCAACTGCATGATGTGTAGCTTGTTTTTGTGAGCCTGTTCATGCTCCCTGTCTGTCTCTTCCCTTAATTCCTCAATCCTTTTTTCAGTAACTGTTACATTTTATGTTGGCCAGTTGCATTTAAATATAATGGGACCAAGCAGTCTGGAGGAGCACTAGTCTGCCTTGACAGGACCCTGGCTAGGGGGCAAAGGCTTTATTTAATCTTAGTTTATAAGTTTCTGGAAAGAATCTCAGACAAGAAAATATTTATATCAGAGGAGAGAAAAATCCACATCAGTATTTGGCCTTAAGCATCAAAATAAGCCAATGCAGGATGTGTCACAAAGCAGGTAGACACAGGTCCTCACAGCCAGGCTGTCATTCCTTCCATTTCTTTGGATTTTTTCCCAACCCAGGCACAAAAATAAATCACTGTTTGTCTGTAATTTACTTTTAAGGAGTTAATTTTTCAATTCTTTTTCGTTAGTCCACTGCTATAATACTGAAGTTGCAGATTATGAAATAGGAGACTAATACTACATTATTTATTTTGAAAGCTAAAAGCCAGTTCATCTAAGAATAGGGGAAGAGAGTCCTTTAACAATAATCTCATTAGCAGTCATGGGAATACCAGGGCAACTATTGCTTTATATATTTTTTTAAAAATATTTGTCTTTAAGCTCTCCTGTGTTCTGATTGGTGTTCATATTGATTAAAGAAAATTAATTTTTAAAAGGTCCTTAAAATAGTATTTTTTAGTAGGGTTTTTCATTATTACTCCTGTCCTTTTCAATCCACTTAATTAAAAATCAGGTTTCAAGACAAGAAGGATACAGCAAATATTTATGTGTTCACTAAGTAAAGACTGGGGTATCTTTGTTTAGCTTAAATGTTTTGGTTTTTCACTGCATGTAGTCATTACTATTATAAATGTGGTTGTGGGGATTTGGCATAAACCTGTCATATAAAACAGCATGACTTCACTTATTCTTAATAAAGTTCTATTATTTCATCCATTTTGTAAATATATTTGTGTGTTTTCTCCAAGCTCAGATGGTGCAACTGGTTGTTTGTTGTCTTCCACCTTTCCCAGGGCAGCCATTCCTGAATCCAGATGGCACTCCAGTTGTGTACAATCCTCCAATGCCTCAGCAGCCTGTTAGGACCCAAGTGCCTGGACCTCCACAACAGCCACCTCTGCCCACCCCGGCTCAGCAACAGCCCCCAGCAAACCCCGTCCTGTCGCAGGTGACGTGGCACATCCCTGGGGTGGGGGTGGAAGGGGACCAGGAGCGGGGCTCTGCCTCCACCCCCTGTGTCTGGGCAGGAGAAGGGAAGGTTCTCCTTCTTTCCACAGCAGCTATTTCAGGCACCAAGCTACTGCCCATAGTTTCCTGGGATATTATCAGATGATTTTCAAATATTGTCTAAAAGTTATTTGTAGAACTTAATCTAAACCTTTACCTTTGTTCATTTTCCCTGTTTAAAACTTCTGTTCAGATACCTGTGTATCCTTTTAAAAAAGGCTCATTTGTACTCTTTCTAGTTCACAGAAGTGTGTCTGTGGTATTTGCTGTTTTCTTCACAAATCCTTTACTAATTCTCTCATTGCTTTCTCAATGGATGCTGGAGTTGAAGCTGCCTGAAATACCATCAGCAAGGATACTCCTTCAAATACCACAGTCCAGAGAAAATATTTAGTGCTGTTGAATAAACGAAAGTAATATGTTTGAATCTGTGGTTAGCAGTAAATTCATTCTGCCTTTAGATGCTTTGAAAGAGCTTGTATTTAAAATGCATGTGTAGTTTTTAATCTATAATTTAAAAAAAAAATCTCTCTGAAGGAAACAGTAAATGTTAAATAGAAGCAATTTGCTGACATAGCTAATATAATGTATGGCAAATAAATCACATGTATTTTTTCTGGGAGACTGAAATATTCAAAGTTACTTCTGGTTTAATTCTATGCAGTCTAGAGCATTAAAAAAAAAGTACTGTCCATTCTGTTTCTGGTAGAGGAGTGCGTTTCTTTTCTGAAGCATAGTTGCTTCTTCTGTTACAAGAGACTTGTTTTCACTTCTGTTTCTTTGCTGTTAACCTTGTTTGTAAACCTGTTATCTCTGCAGCCTCTGCGGGCTCTGCAGCCCTCCCAGCCTGTCCAGTACTCCGCAGTGTCCTTCCCACCCCCGCTCCTGCCAGCCTCCTCCACACAGCAATACTCTGTGGTACTGCATCTTCTCTTCTCTGCTCCCTGCTTAGGTTAATCTTTAGTGGCTGCTCACCTTGGCCTGGGTGTTTGTGAGGGGGGTGTGATAGCAGGTAGTGACTGGCTTCCCAACCACAGTGACCTGTTACTGGAGATCCCCACATGTGAACAGTTTGAGTTCAGCAGCAATATCTGTAATTGATAATCTGTAATTGCTGGATCTATTTATCTCTGTATTTAGAGATATATTATTTCCCTTTATAAAGGAAGTTTTTCAATGCTTTGTTAGCCAGTCAGTACCTTTTTATGTCTCTGGATTAACCCCTTTGCATTGTTTCTTGTTGTTTCTTTGTCTGCTCTTTCTTCTGCTGAACCTTAATACATTTTGAGGGATCAGCTGCCCTGTTTTTTTGAGGTTATCTTTTTGTAGCCTTTTTGCCAGAACTCTTAACACTCCCACTTCACCAATATCCCTTGTTTAATAAGTAGAAGCTGGAAATTAAATATCTTAGTCTAAAAAAAAAGGGGGGTGATAAAAAAAAAAACCCACACAAATTGAGACTGAAATGTAATAAAGGAGAGTTGTTATCCAAGGCAGAATCTGAACTAGAGTCCAGGTGAAAAATTACAGCTTCCCAACTCCTCAGACTGCTCTGATACTCTGTGTACATGTTTATGTTGGGTTTATGTGGCAAGGATTTGGTAGCAGGATGCAGGGGTGGCTTCTGTGAGAAGGGACCAGGAGCTGCCCCCATGTGGGATAGACCCAACCTGTCCTGAAGGACTGCAACCTGTGGGAAGAACCCACATTGAAGACATTACAGTGTCTTGTGGGAGGGATCCCACACTAGAGCAGGGGAAGAGTGTGAAGAGGAAGGAGCAGTAGAGACATGGTTGGGAACCAGTCAGAAGCCCCATTCCCCCCATCCCTGTGGTACTCAGAGGAGGAGGCAGAAGATCTGGAAGTGAAACTGAGCCTGGGAAGAAGCAGGAGGTTTTGGGAAACTGGTTTTAGTTCTAATTTCTCACTATCCTACTCTATTATTAATTGGCATAAATGAAATTAATCTTCCCCAAGTCGGGTCTGTTTTGCCTGTCATGGTAGTTGGTGAAGAATCTCCCTCCTTTTCTTGATCCATAAAGCTTTTCATCTGATTTTCTTCCCCTGTATTGCTGAGGATGAGAGAGAGGAATGATAGAGTGCCTTGGGTGGGCACCAAGGAGCCAGCCAGGGTTAGCTCACCCCAGTGCTGTACAGTAGCTAATTTAGTATGTATTCAGAGCTTTTGTTATTGTCAACATTAATCAGAAACGTCTTTAATAGTAAGTACAGATTTAGCTGAATTCAATAGCCTGCATACAATTAAAACTATTGTAGCCATTAGCAGCACATTAGGAATACAATTCTAAAAGGAATTGCTCTTGATGGAGGGTGTTCTGTAATTAGCAATGTTGTTTCTGAAGTTACTTTCGAGTTTGAATAGTGTTAAAGCAGAGAAGGAAACTCCTTCCAGGTTTATAGTAATTTCAGAGCATTTCACATTCAGGAAATTGGTTCAAATACAGTGTGCTGGGAGGTTCAAAAATGTGTTCCTGCTAATGGTAACTTAAATCACACAGTGAAAAGGATTGATGGTCTTGGGTCATAATCCCAATGGAACACACCTGTAGCTGTCACCAGGAGAGTCTGCTTTGTCCATGTGTTGGTAATGCCATTGTCAGTGGTTAATCATGATTATACCACACATGTCACCAGGATAAACGGAGCAGGTCAGGATTTACTGACATTATTATAGTGTAACAAATCAATGTATTTTCCTTGGGTTTGTCCTTGGACATATTTAGGATTAATATAAACTCACATTCGGTATCTCCTCTCTAAACTCAGTATTCTGAAAAGCAGTGTAAAGTCCAATGTAGAAGAGTGTTACAGGTGTTTTAATAGGCACCATTAAGGAATGAAATGCCACAGTCAGATTATTGATCTAATGAAAATAGGGCTTTTTAAGCTCTATAGGTATTCTAAATTAAGTTTTAGGTGCAAATCTATATTTCCGGTGGTAATTAAGAATATCTTTAGCCTGGAAACTAGAAAAATTCATCATAAATTGTGAATGTAGCTAATCAGTAAAAGATGGAGCTTGCACTTTTTCCTGATTAATTCCTATCTTCAGGATGATCTAAGAGAAGATCAAGTGTTCTTAAAATAGTTTTAATGTTCCTACATGTTTGCAGAGTCCACTTCTGAAGTAGGAACAAAATCTTCCTGTTTAGTGTAAGAAGTGCAGTACTAGTTAGGGAGCACTTCTGATTTCCAGGATTTTGCTAACTTGATGCTGAATTGCTTGTAAAGAACGGGAGCTTGGGGTTAAAGTAGTGGAAGTTTCAGGTTGCCCAGGACTCCTGCAGTGCTCAGTGATGTCATCATTTCAGATGTCAATGACATACAGAGAGAGGGCAACTACTGGGACACAGATTTTGCAGTTGTTACTTGATTTCAGATGAAAAAATAATTAGTCTTTGCATGTACAATAATACCAAGTTAGAAGAATGTACCTTGTAACTCAGGATTAGAGCCTCATTATCTTAAGCTCTTAAACCCAAAAATTACTTCAGCAATACTAATGCCTTCTGCTATTTTAACTGGGGTTGGATGTTTTCACTCAAGCTTTGGAGTCCAGTCAGAAAATGTTAGTGGCACAAATTCTGACTTTATTTTTGACAATCGAGTTCTCACAATAAGTAGGTAGAGGCAGATGTGATCCAAAAGTTGAATGTTTGCTGTGAAGAGTGAAATCTCTGAACATGGATGTTGTCTCCTCCTGTCAGCCCTGGAGATAATTCCCTACTGAGTTCCTTTCCTGTTGTCGCTTGGCTGCTGTTGCTAATGCACAGTAATCTGAGACATTGCTGCCTGAAACTTGGTGAGGCATTTGGCTGTTTTATTCTTTTTTTCTTGAATGTTCATTTGCAAATGGAGCTTTTCCTGTTTCTTCCCCAATCCAGCAAGACAACCTGGGATCCCAGTTCAGCCACCTGAGCCTGTCCCGGCAGCCCCCGGCCGAGGCAGCGGAGCCTCCCAGTGCCCTGTTCCAGTCCACCGTGGTGCTCCAGCCCCCCCAGCAGCCCGGATACATCCTCACTGCTGCTCCACCCCCTCCTCCCTCTGCCCAGCCCGTGTCTGCTCCGGGATACTCGGCGTCCAGCCACCCAGTCACCCAGCCCGTGCTCCAGCAGCAGGGATATGTGCAGCAACCTGTGCCACAGGTACAATGGCTGTTCCATCCTGAAAAACTGATGGTGCTGTTCTGTTCCTGAGCTTCTCACACAGTGTGGGGCTCCCTGTTAAACTGCAGCTCTGTGCATTGAGTCTGGGGTTGGGTTTTTTCTGCCTTATGTACTCTAAAAATGACTGCTTTTAGTTTACTTGAGAAGCAACAATCACACAGGTTTGCCTAATTACCCATAGCTGGTAAAACTCATGGTCTCCATGGTTTTCTTGTGTCTCAGAAGTCGCTTTATGGAAACTGGGAAATTGTTCCTTCTACATGGAAAGTAAAAGAAATGGGCTGTTAAAGAGGCAATTTATTTTAAGGTTTTCATCTTTTTTATGGTGATGGTTTTGCATGTAGATTGTGCCTTCTGTCAGTGATCCCCCACTGTTGATTTCCAGATGCCAGCCTGTTACTGTGCCCCTGGCCAGTACCCTCACTCCAGCCCCCAGTACCGGCCTGTGTCCGTGCACTACAACACGCAGCAGAACCAGCCCCTGGCACAGCCCGCCCAGCAGACAGGTTTGTGGAACTCTTCCTGCAGTTCATTGGAATGCTGTGTGTGGTTTTTCTCCTGGTTTTTCATTTTAAACCTTGCTGTAAAATTTCGAATGAAGTAGGAGCTCAGATATGGAATACAAAGTGCAGCTAACCTAAGGTGGCAAAATTTGAGTCAGTTGTGCATGAAACTTGAGATTTAAGCCATTCCTATGAGTAACTTTGATAGGATTTTATTTTTTTGTAAGTTTAGAGCTGAATAATTTAAAAAATGTTTAACTTAGTAACTAATTCTTGAGTAAGTTATAAAGATTAATTAGTACCTTTAAATGATGTAACATGACAGAGATTGTGCCTTAACTGAAAGCTTTAAACGAAAGATACTAATTTTAGATACTGTGGCATGAACACTCTACTGTGCAGAAGATACTGGTGATACTATTTTACTTTGTCTTTCTGGCCTATGATTAAAGGTATCAGGGTATTGAATGGAATATGTAGTGAGACTTGAAGGGGTTAGAATTAGTTTTTTGCTCCTCCTATTTTTAGAAAGACCTTTCAACTGTTTGAGTTACCTTTCTATGATCGCAAGCTGTATTTTCATCTCCTTCCTTTCTTATTGTCTTTCTTTTGCTTACCAATTTTAACTGTAGCTACCATTATTCTGACAACCCGTACTTCAAAAGATTGTTATGACTTGATCCTGAAACAGATTTATTCTCAGTAATATCTTGACGCATGATCAAAACTTTCAGAAGTAATTGGTAATGTTTGGAGGCAGAGATCCTTAAAGATCATTTTATACTATCTCTTAGTTGAATATGTTAGACTTAATGTCCTTTTGAGTTTCCTTCAGGAAGGATTTTTTTTAATTCCTGCTCCCAACTATCTGTTGCTCTACAGAAGCAGGATGAAAGATCAGCTTTTACAAATACTGACTGGATTTCTTTATAGCTGTTGTATGTAGTAGCCTGTAAGAGGGATTGCTCTTCTGCAGTTCTTCTAAGAAGTGCTCCAATAGTTATAACACTTAAGTTGTTATTCAGGGTTCAGTTCACAAACTTACACAGGATTCTTTCATTGCAGAATCATCAAGATTTCATGCCCACTTATGGTAGAGTTGTCAGACTGTTTTGACGTACTGTAGGTACCTGCTTACTGTAAAACAGGTCACCACCTTCCAGTCTTTGGAAGTGAAAGTGTATTGAGATTTTTTCAAAGGAAAACAAACTACTTGGATTTGCAACTTGTTTTATCCAGTGGTGTTAAAGATGTGTTACCCAACTATATTACACAACCTGCTTTCCTTCCTCAGAATTTTTAATACCTAGACTACTTAATAGCAAAAAGTCTGAGGCTCAGCTGGGATTACTCCCCACTGGGGACACCCCATGTGAACAGCACACAAGGGCCCCAGATCAGAGCTCAGGGTATGTGTAGCTAAACAAGCCAGTCTGAGAGGGGAAGCACGGGGGGAGGAGATGCAAAGGGCTGAGCTGGTTGCTCTTGGGTAAGTAAGTCTCTTTCTCATATGTTTTTAGCCCTTTACATTTAACTGAACTTCAATGCCTGTGGGTGAAAAGTGTCAGCAGATCAACTCCCTCTCTCTGTCCTGAAGAAATAAAATGAACAAGCTGTGCAGAGAGTGACTTCACTGCTTTGATGTGTGCCTTGTACTCCTGACATCAGGATATCATGTTGAAGTAGTTAAGGGGTAGTCCAGCCTATAACTATATTCAGTGTTTGGTTATTTGGTGTTCACTGGCACTAATGGGAGACAGGAGGATCTTACCAGCAATGCCATAATTAGTGTTGAAATGAAACTCTCCAAACTGCTGTCCAGCCATTGCTGGTTCTCATTTACTGCATTATAGGCAAATTTGAATCAGCCTTCTGTGCTGATTCTATGCCATTCCATGGCATGCTTTCTGTTCTGAAAACTGCTCATGAGATGGTGTATTTGAAAGTTCACTTCTGTAATTTATTTTAAACCATTAATGTTGGTATTAATTTGACACGAAGCTGCACCTGAAGTTGTTGATGCTTATTAGCAGTGGCTGTTTTGGAGCCAAAGGGCAGCACGTTCCTTGGCTCACACAGCAACGTGCCTGGTCAAAAAGGAGAGTTACAGACCTTGTATTAGAAAAAAGCTGTGGGGTTTGTTCATCTCATAAAGTGGTTACTAACTGTGAAATAACTTTGCAAACACAAATTCAGATAAAAGGTGACACCTTCGGAGAGCTTGGCAACTGGAGCCACTTCTGGTCTAATGTTGTGGAGTGGCCTGACTTTACTGATGAGCTGCTGGATTCGGGGCCGTAACACTGTCTGAGAGGTTTACATTTCTCACAGTGAACCGGTCTCTTTTTCAGCTGCTTCCTGCCTTCCTTTTTAAAGGGGCTTCAGGGGAAACATTTGGGGGGTTCACTTAGTAAAAATGCCCAAAAGATGTTGGGAGAAGAAAACTCTCTTTAAGAAAAAGGCATTTCTGATTGATATGATCATGCGAGCCCAGTTACCGTGAGACCTGACTACAGGGGGTTTAAAAAATCAGTCTGAACTCCAATTCCTGTAGGAACATCAGCTGAACTTCAACTGGCTTGTGCTTCTCAAGGCCCAGGGATAAAACTATTTGAGTTGTAACAGTAGCTGTAGTTGTAATAGTTGTAACCAAGCTCATCAACTCCCAGCTTGTTAACCAAGTGGTTGTAGTGACTCCTCTGTTCTTGAATAAAGGCTGTTTCTCACTCTTGGTGTGTTTTTCACAAAATGTATATTCTGTAAATTAACTGTTCTTATATTAACAGTGATTTTTAAAATTATGTAAATATTAAGCAGCATGCTTTTTTTTTTTACCTGCAGTTTCAGGGTATTTCTGTGCCATGGGACAAACTGCTCTGGCAGGTGTGGGGTTTGTGCTGAGAGCTGCATTTCTGTCAGCCCATCTCTGCAGAGGTGAAATTGTGAGGCTAAAAATAGAGCATTCTTTGGAATGCTCTGGGGAAGCTCCGTGGCAGTCAATTTGTGTGGTTCCAGTTCTCTCTGCTTGCAAAATTGATCGTGTCTGTCTCTGGAAGTGCCAGAAAAAAGCTGAAAAACTACTCCCAGCTCCATGGCAATTTCTGGGTCAGGAGGGGTTTAGACTGCAGGTGTATTGATTGGGTCTGTCACATACCACAACTTCCCATTCTCCTGCTTTTAGGGACCATTTTGGGACAAAGCATATTTAAACATTTTGTTTATTACAGATATGAAGAGGATTTTGTGCACAGTTCAAACTTAAGAGTTATTAAAAATTCTAATTACTAATTCTCCTTCAAGCATGCATTGTTCTGAAGTTTTGTCTAGACCTCTGCAAATATTTATAGTGTTGTGTGTTTCTAGTGAATAGATGTCTTGGTTTTAACAAACTCAGCCTTCTTCCCTTTAATTTTCTGAAGCAATATTTGATTCTATTAACAGTCTTCTTTTAGTGTTCCTTGTTGCAATGTCTGCAGAGACAGCGAGCTGAGGCTGTTAGTGCTCAGTGTTCATTGTACCCTGGGTGGGTGTCGTCAATGAACACTGGTGGGTGTTGTTCCCAAAAGGTGTTTTGTGGGAACTGAATTACTTCCAGAATAGACCATCCCATTCTTTTAACACAGTTTAAAGACAAACCAAGTGAGTTTTTGCAGCTAAATTTGCTTTATTATAGTTCTGTGCCAAGGTAGGGAGCATGGGGAATGTCGAGATCAGTAGACTGTGAACGTGTCCAACTCAAACACAGACTCTTCTTGCCGTCAGTGCATCTTGACAAGCCCAGTTTTGTTAGTCTGGAGCGATAACTGGTTTGTCTCAGAAACACTGACAGTGTTTTGCTGACAGGGTAAGTAGTGCACACCTGTATGATAGAACATGACAGCAAGGACTGTGTTCTGCATGTGTTTGCTCATGGGAGCAGTTACCTGTATATGCTTTGTTAAAACAGAACAAAGTGGGAGCTCAGGTTGGATTTAATAAATGCACAGATTTGGCACTCATGCTTGGGGTGTTTTGGTTTGGGTTTTGGGGGATGGGATTTTTTTAGGCATTTTTTGAAGGATACAGTTTAAGCAATAATAAACTGTTGTAGAGACACTATAGAGGGGTGATTTTGAAAATCTTTCTTTTTATCCCTAAGATAACTTTGAGTATGAAGGTCTTCCACTGTACATCAATGTGGCTTCTACCTGGAAGATTTTTCTCAGCTCCCAGTTGGTTTCAGCATCACGGATTGCAGTAGAAATTGCCCTTTTGAAAAAGATTTGCACACAGGCCTTACACAAATATTCCTGAAGTCGGATTCAGTTTTGAATCGCAGCCAAGATGTTCTGACCCCTGGGCACCTGAGGCACCAGCTGAACTTGGCACAGCTGGAATTTCAAAACTGATGTGCCTGGAATGGCCTTGTTCGTAATAGACAATGGATTGGGTTGATATTGTCTAGCATGCTTTGTTCAAGTGCTTTGGAGGTGTTAATGCATGTAACTCCAGTGCAAATAAATCCTGCACGCATGTGGGAGCAGCACTGCCAACAGTATTAGAGGATTTCATGCTGAATCCAAGTGAATAAATTATTAATTTTAATGTTGGCTTCTTTTATATGCATGAGAAGTTCAACTGTTATGAAGTTGCTGGATTTAACAAGCCATTGGAAAATGCTACACATATTTTCACATAGACAACTGTGTATAAAATGTGTTCATTATTTCAAAGTAAGATTTAAATGTATAATTTCAGGTTACCAGATTTTGCCCAACCAGCAGCAAAACTACCAGGGTTTAGTTGGAGTTCAGCAGTCTCAGAATCAAAATCTAGTCAGTGGCCAACACAACAACGTTGGGAATCAAATTCAAGGCGTGATTGTTCCATATCCTTCAGTGCCATCTTATCAGGTGGGTGATGTAATCATGACTTTCCAGTCACTCTGCCGTGTGTTTGAATGTTTATGTTTCTCTAGAGCTTTGCTTTGTAAATGGCAGAAAGCTGCAAGCAGGGGACAGAAATTAAACAACACAAACCCACAACTGAAGTGAGAAAAACCTCTGTCACAAGATACAAGTTCTAGTCCTGTTTAAAGCCAAGTGCTGTGTTAGTTGCTGTTAAATTCAGAGAGTGGGGAAGGAAATCTCATAAGATTTCACTTTCTTTTGTAGAGAAAATGTCTTGTTAATTGATGGAGTCCCTTGGAGCCAACATTTCCATTTTTGGAGAAGGGTTTTTTTTTAATAAACCACTGTTATTTCAACTACTGTTGTCACTAGTCTTCTGGATTTAGAGAATTCCAGAAGTTCTTTCAGTTTCTGGGTTTGTGTTTTTTTAAATTCTTGTATCAGCTAGGATGGTCAGGAGGCAGAAAATAACCTTGCCTGCAAAAGATCTGAGTGTGTTTCCCATTGCAGGTTTCGGTGCCTCAAGGTTCCCAAGCAGTGCCCCAGCAGACATATCAGCAGCCTGTCATAATTCCCAGTCAGTCCAATCAAGGATTGCCCACCACAGGAATGCCAGTTTACTACAGTGTCATTCCATCAGGTCAACAGAATAATTTAAGGTGAGTTGAACTGATCCCGGATTTCTCAGTAACCAGCTTTAAAGGCTTTGTAGAACTGCCAGGATCTGCTTTTAGTCCTGCAGATATTAAAACGTGTTTTAAAGGCAGACTTAGACACTCTGTCTATTGATTTTTGCTCTTATGCAATTAACTGAAACAACCAGTACTGCTGTAATTGTGACAGACTTGCAGGACTGGAAAACATTGTATCACTTTCAGCAATACTTCACTGCAGTTCCACCTCTGGAATTTTCTGCATTCCTTCTCTTACCCCTGAAACCCCTTGTGCTCAGCAGCGATGCCTTTTGCAGTAATATTTGACTGTCCACATTCGCTGGGTTAGTCAAGGACACTACTTTAATAACGTGGAGAGAAAAAAGAATTTGAATCCCAGAATGAAACAAGTATAGAAACTTTTTCCTATGCTTGGCTTTTGTTTGACAAATAACCATTTTTCTTTTTTTTTACCTCCACGTACAGCCCTCCCTGCATATCCATGTGTGTTCCCAATTCAGACAGGCACAGACCTAAAAGAATTAATTAGGCTTTGTGCTTGCTACAAATTTTTCTTTCTCTAGTTTTTTGCACTTAAAAATGTGCAGCATTTAAAAATACCTGGCAGCTTTTAAACAAGCAGTAGCAGTGTGGAGCTTGTTTCATCTTTTTGTGAGTGCAGAGACTTCAGTAGTATTTGTGTCATTGCCTCATGCCTTCAGCTACTGAAATCTGAATTCTCCTTCCTTCTATCTGAAGGGTTTTAATCCTTTTCTGTAGTTCTGTTTGAGGTTCATTGAAGTCACAGGTAGGCATAATCCCAGACTTTTTTGAAGTAAGTTTTGTTGCTTGATCTTTTGTGTCAGAATGTCCCTCTCTTTTGAACAGGGAAACATTTATTAGGAATTCAGAGCAGACAAGCATCTAATGACAGCATCCTGCTTTCCTCAGAATAGCTCTGCTGCAGCACTGACAAGGAAGGCAGGATGCTGTTCTGCTGGAGCTGAAAGTGCCAAACCTACAGGCCACTACTGAAAAATAGGATCAGTAGGCAGACGAGAAGCTGTGTTAGTTTTCAGTGGGTTTTGTCTGCTTTAATGGAAGGGCATCTTTAAATTAATATTATATAATTGAACTGTGGGACAAAGGATGGGACAGACTTGTGAAAACACATGTAAAAATGGTAAGTCCAAGAGGCTTAAACCTACTTTTTTCCCAGAATTTGAAGGAATTTTTTTTCTCAGAAAGTTTATCTGTTAGTACAGGATTCTATAGGCACCATTCTGACTGTAGTCCACAAACCTGATGTTCTGGCTGAGCAGTTTGTGGTATGATAGAATCTCACTATGTCTGTTAATTACCTGTTTTTCGTGATTACCCTGAAAAAATACGTGACATAAATAAACTGTTAAAGTTTTCCCTGTCCTACATGTTACAAACAACTGAATGGTTGTTTATCCCTTTGAGTCATCTTCTTTTTCCCACATCCCGTTCAGAAAAGCCATGGAAAGACAATCCCTTCTCTGGGCTGTGTGGATTGGTTGCTGATCAGCTGCCTCAGCTCTGTGGGGCCATCCTGCAGCTGAGAGACTGCATCTCAAATTCTGGTTAACTGAGGAAAAAGTTGTCTTTTTATTATTCTTCTCCATGTCTTTATGCTGATCTAGTGCTATGGACGCAAAAATAGTGTATCAAAATAGGTGAATTAGTACAGCTTCTCAGTGTAGGCAGGGCATGTGTTTTTCCCAAGAAACAGGTGTGAAACTTCAGTCTTCTGAAGAATGAGCAGATTCGGGGGTAGGTGGGAATATTGATTTAAAATTAACAAATCTCAGTGACTTGCAGTACGTGGAGACAGCAGATGCAGCAGTCGTGATTAAATAAATGAGTGGGGCATAAATGCCTGTTAGTCATGTTCTTTTTTTATTATTACAGTTCATCAGTAGGATATTTGCAGCCTCCTGGATCAGAGCAGATACAGTTTCCTAGAACAACATCACCGTGCAACTCCCAGCAGCTCCAAGGACAGCAGTGTGCAGGTTGGGGGAATAAAGCTTAAAACAATGGCTGTTATTACTGTGCTGTGTAATTAGATATTTGCTCTTTAGGGTTTGATTTACAATTAACTGCTCTAATCTGTTCCCTCCTTTGCTCCATATCTGAATTTATTTTCCATTTTTAACCTGAGGCAGGTTGATTTGACATCTCGACTCGTATATGATTGAAATCTCTCAAGGCACATCACAGTGCCTTGTATGGCCACTTGTGAGTTGGGACAGACCTGGGAACTGCATGTCAGCAGAATGACTTTCATCCTTTCCTGAATAGCCAGATGGGTCTGAGAATTTTGAGGTTTGGGTTTGCATTTGACAGAAGGAGCAAGGTCCATTTGGGCAGCAGTGCAGTTACTCAGCTCTTCTACTCAAGCACATTCTAGATTTCACTAACAAAGCAGGAGTAGTGATTTTCTTAAGAGGTCCTGAGGAGAGTTTGCAAACTGTGTTCTGGGTTTGGATAGAGGAGAGGTCACTTTTTGACCTGCTGAAAAGCTAAAAGTACTTGGAAGCTGTGTGGGGTGTTCTGTTTTCATGGTAGCCTTATTTACTGCTTTTACTTCCATAGTTTATAGCAACCACTCAAGTCAGAAGCCATCACCTCCTACATTATTGCCACCTTCATCCAAGTCAAAGCCACAACAGGCTGCTTCCCTTGTGCACTACAGCATAGTGTCTCCACCCTCATCATGTAAAAGTTCACCCACTGCTCTGTCCATCATGCAGCCAAAAAAAGGTATATTTTATTGGGATTTTCATCTAAGCCATTCTGTCTAGAACCTGCTGTAAATGGTCAGATTTCATGGCTAACTGCTAGAACTGCTGCAACAACTGCAACTCCAGGGGCCAGCTCTGAAGTTCTTTTGTAATTCTTCATCTGAATTGCTATAATTGTAACTTCTAAAACGACAACTTGGAACTAAAGTGAAACAATAGCCAGCCTGGAGCAGCCTTCAGCAGGTAAATGTCACTTAGCAAAGCACTTAAAACAGGTTCAGGTTTGGATCTACAAATATTTGGGTAATCTTCAGAAGGGGTGTAAGTAGCAGCCTCAATGTGTTTGAAAACACTGGTGACATAGAACTTGTCAATCCATGAAACCTTTATAAATGTTAATGTCAAACACTTAAAACTCTGAAGTTCCAAGCATAACATTGATGGACTGGTCAGGAAGGTAAGAGCACTAGGGTTAGTCTGAGCCTCCAGACAAGAGATTCTGGAACAATCCTGTGATCACAGTGGCACTGTCTTTATCTTGCCAGGAGGGAATTTGATACATTACTGGCTTGGTAAAAAAGAGATAATCTCAAATAGTGCTATGTCAGTATTTTGCAAGCAATAGATGAAACCACTCAAGGTCAGTCACCCAGATTCTGCTACAGATGTGGTGTGTCTTACAAACATTATCTTTTAAGATATTTTTAGAACCTGTTTATGAGTAAATAGATAACATGCAGTTAAGTGGCAAGATAGCTGGATTAGCAATGTATTATAGTTCATGGGCAGCTTTGATTTTGTTTCCATTTTGCTTCAGGTTTGTTTGGCTTTAATTCTGGAATGTTGTAATTTCAGAATATCCAAAGTGGGCCTTGCCCTAGTTTGGTTTTTTTCTGCCCTCCTAATCTGTCCTGGAAGTGCCGGTTTTGTGCAGTTTTGATGGCCTGGTTCAGACCTGTTAAACTGTGATTTAAAGAAGTTTGAGGAAAGGGGAAGCCCTCTACGGGGAAGGAAGAATAAATTCTGAGAGAATAAAGAAAAACATGCTTTTCAATGACATTGAGGTGCTGAATCAAGGCCACTGAGGGAGGGACACTGAGGAGGTACAGACAAGGAGCAGAGTTGTGTTACAGAGGACCAGGCTGTAAATCTGGGAAGGCTTTGAAGGATTTCTTCTGGGTTTCCCTTCCCGTGGGATTTGATGGGTGATAAAGCATCTACAAACTGACTTATTTGTTGTATGACACTTCATGTTGTCAGGATGCCTGTTTAGGAAAAGAATTCCATTTATTTCCACTTACTGAAAGGCTGTGGAACTACAAGCAGTAGAAAGAACAAGATTTTCTGGATACCTGAAGTTTTCTTTTGCAGTAATTGTATTTCAGATTGTGACACATTTTTAGAAATGGTGCTCTAGAAATGGAAAAGGTTTCAAAAGACAAGAGCATTTTTGTGGGGTGTTCCATTCTCACAGAACAAAATCAAAAGAGTGTGCTGGAGTGCTGCAGAATAAAATACTGTACTATAAACCAGTAAGATGGAAATAACTGTCATCTATAGTATTTATAAATATATGCATAGAATATTAAAATGAGTCCCATTTTTGTGTGTTAAATGTAGTGTGTATATAGGTTGTTTGGTACATCTCAGGTTTACGTATAGGGACCACATAAGTCTGTGGCTTTGCCACTTGGAAACTGTTGTTATATATTATTCTGATTATGTAGTAGTCATAAACAGAGCTGTATTTTATTCTGCTGTGCAACAAAATAGAAATACTCACAATGCACTCACTCTTGCAGGGACTCCTAAATTTATATCCTCTGCTAAAGATGGCCAAGTATCTGGTGCTTCCATTGCAATCTGTAACATGTGGGTAGAACTTCTGGCCTTTAAAGAGAAAGTATAGATGTGAAAACACTAATAGTTCATTTACCAATATAATAAATATTTCTGAATACAATTTACAAAAGCTGCTGCAGTTTTAATGAGTTCATTATTCTACATTGTTTGGTTTGTTTTTTGAAGAAGTCTGTTTTTGTGGAGCCCAGGGGTAGTGAAAACAATGGGCCATTTTAAAAATTGCCAGCTGAATGCATTTTATCGTCTGTATCTGGCTGTTCTGACTGATGAGGTGACAATGGTGTTACATTGAGAAGATTGCAGACTCCTGTTTTAAAGATGGGTGATTAAATGATGGTAAAACCCCGTGTTTTAACCGTGGTTTCTGAGAAATGCTGTGAGCAGTGGGGAGAGCAGAGAAGGAAACTGCAAACAACCATTTACAAGTAAAAGGGACATTCTATAAATTACCTGGGGCACAGCCAGGCCAGAAGGGGAAGATGGTTTCTCTCTTGGGCAGGCTTTTGTCACAGTTCCTGGTGGGAAACCTCATGGAACGGTGTTGGATGTTCAGGTGTTCTCCCCTGACTCTGCCATTGCTGTAGCTCCCACAGTACCCGAGTGGTGCAGGATGTGGGATCCATTTGCAGCCTCTGCCCAGCAGAGTGTTCCTATAGAGAACTTGTAAGGGTGGGTAAGCTTGCCAAGAGCCCAGACTAAAGGTTGATCCCAGATCTTTCTGGTAGATGCTATCCTAGCAGAGAAACCATTTGGAGTCTGCATTGCTGTGCATCATGTAAAACTAACTGGGAAACTTCTAATTTTAAATGAAACTTGGTTTTGCATAATATCACATCCTGCAACACATTGCTCTGACAGAAACTGCAGTGAATGTTGAATACTTCCAACTACTATTGAATAGAGTGATTGCTTTCTAAAATATTCTCAGCAATGAGTTTGTGGCTCCACTCTCTTCTTGTTCTGGGAAGCCCTCTCTAAGTTACTATTGCAGATGTGTCTGATAGTGGAAATGTAATTGTACAGAAGATACCACTCTAGTTTTCTGGGACTGAGCAGCTTATTTAGCCAAACATTCCTGATGTTACTTCCCAGTTTTGTGAATTCCTGCCTGCTGTGGGATGTGTGATGAGTAACTGCACCCTCTGGCTCCTTGTCTTGCAGCAGTAGCACCCCCTCCAGGCGGGGGGGTGGTGATGATGCAGCTCAACATCCCCAGCAATGCCCAGCCCCGGAACCCGTCCCCTCCGCAGAGGAAACACAGCAAGTACTACTGTGACCATCCCCGGGGGCACAAGGCCACAGAACTCAGCACTTTAGACGGTGCTGCTCAGGTGGGAGCTGGTGCCTGATCTGCATGAACTGCACCTCTGCATGGTTCTTCAGAAGTTCTTTTTGGAGAATTAAAATCTGCTCAGAATATATTTAATAATAAGTAAACCTATTTTCACTTCACTTCAGCCTTTGAAGGCTGTAGGTGCTGTTTAGCTTGTTCAAGTAGGTACTTTTTAGAACACTAATGTGGTGTTTGTTCCAGTTGCAGCACAGTCCTCAACTAGGTAGTCCTGTCACCTCACCGGCGCAGTCACCAGCACCAGCTCAGCTGTCCAACATGAAGAACATCCGTCCCACCTTAACACCTCTTTCTATTGTGTCCCAGTTTTCTAGACCTTTTGTCCCCGCACAAGGTATATTTTCAGTCAACTACAATGTGTCTGTGTTTTCTATCTGAGTGTTTTAAAATACAAGTTATATGGGGATTTTCTGCTCTCTTCAGCAGTATTGCTATTGAAGCAGGATTGCCAAAATTATTCACTCAGGCATCATGGAAAACTTCACTGACATTGTCTCCCATATTCTCAAAGGCGTTTGATCTCCTAGTTAGTGTGAGAGCTTCTGTAACACACTGGCTTTCACATACTGTGAAATTCCTCATTTCAGCATTGAAAATGTTGATAAAATGTTTGCTAGAATTCAGCTTCAAGTTTTAACCATAAATCACGAGCTGAGATCAAACCACCAAAGCAAGCATTCGTTCTTCATTGCTCTGTAGAACAACAGGATGGGATCAGAGCCTCCAGAGACTCTAGTACTGTTGCTGCTTCTGTTAGTATTTCAGACAGTACCACCCAAAGACAGAAACAATTCCTTGTAGAAGAACTTCAGTCCTCTGCTGCCATATTAACAGAAAAATAGAAAACATCCCACTGACATGGGATAGTTGGTAATGTTTAAAAAACAAATGATAAAAAAAGCCCTTTGTCGTGAGCAAAAACTTCCCAAACTCAAAATTAATAAGTCTGTTTTACACAAAGATTTACTTTAAAACAAAAGTTTAACAAAATTCTGTGTGTCTTCCTCACTGATAAAGAAACCCTTGTTTTCTTGTCTGTCTTTGTCTTATCTGCTGCATAACCTTTATGTGATTGCTTTGTATTCAGATGTTGTAGAAATTCCAAGAGGCCTGTTCCAAGCACACCTCTCAGCTCCTTAATCTGCTGGGATTACTAAAAACTCCTAGTCCATTGTCTTTGTGGATCCTTGCAGCAAATAGGAATGTGAAAATGTACTTGGCTCTAATCTGGCATATAACCACAAAAATGACTAAATTAGCATGCTGAGGGGAGCTTTGGACTTATTAAGCTCATTTTGAAATGAGAGGACTTAGATAAGACTGAAATGAAGCAAAACTTCAGTGTAATCCTTAAATACTAGAAAGCTTTTCATCTTGGGACTAGTCTGTGACTGACTGACACTGATTTGTGCCAGGTGTGGGTTTGTGAGCCCAGCCAAACACAACTTTGTGCACAGTTACTCTGCTTTCTCTTCTGTGTAACACAAACATCGTTAAGAGGAACTTGGAGGAAGATTTCATATATAATAGAAAAACCCTTCTAATTACCTTTCTCTTTAAGGAGATGCCAGATACCCATTGCTTGGCCAACCCCTGCAATACAATCCATCTTTATTACGAGGACAAGTAACAAGCCAACAGGTATTAAAGAGAACAATCTCCTGCCAACAATGAAAAAATTTAGGACAACCATTATAACCACCCTGAACAGGGGAATGTGTTATTGCAATAGCAAAGCAACTGAGTGGAAGGTGCTTGCTTTCCAATCATTCTTTATTCTGTGTCAATACTTCCCATTGTTCTTGTTCGTTGTATTAAAAAAAAAGTGGAAACATTTGTCTGGAGTTTGGCTTTTAGGCACAGTGTAGATTATGGATTTTTTTGATGTTAAGCAATTCACTGGCTAATTAAAAAAATCTAAAGGACCCTTTGCTAAAAGGGTTCTCTTTTATTCAAATAACAATTTAAAATATAATAAAAAAATACATGTGGGCACTTCTAAACAAAGAGTGGGTTTGTTTCTTATAAGAACAAACCCAAAATATTAGTATTAGCAAAGTTTAAAAGTCTTGCCATTTATTTGATTTTTGGGACACACAGCCCCCCTGCCTCTGCCTTGCTCAGTTCTACCCAATGTCAGCTCAGGATGTGGTGGCTGGGGCAGGGGTTCTTCTTCCCAGAAAATTTAAGGGGATTTTTTTATCCCATCCCTTTCTTCTGAAGCCAAGGATTGAATGTGCCCAACTGCAGGATTACAAAACTAAAATTGGACATGGAAATCTTTTCTGTACCGTGATAGTGCAGGTCATTTTCCAGACATTTCTGGCACTGCTTTTCCCTGAGCTGACTAGAAATTTTAAGATACTGATGCATTGTCACTAAAGAACATCGTTTGTGTCAATCTTTCCAGTGTCAACCTGGGAACAGACATGGGAACAGGGGAAAGAAACCAGCAAAGAAGGCTGCTTCAACAGATCTTGGGGCAGGAGAACCAGGTACAGAACTGCTGACTGACACAGTCCTGCAGAAAAATGAATTGTGGTGATGGGCTGGGAAGGTACAAGAAAAGCACAGGAGAGAAAAATTAGACAGAAATGGACATGGCAAACACTGGAAATGTAAGGATGGAGAGGATGACATGATTTGGAGAGAGGGGAAGAGGGAGATTAAATGAGAAAAGTGTAGTTTTGAAGGCTGAAGAAAAGACCAGAGAAGTTCAGGATTGGGGAGTGCTAAAAGGAAAAGCAAGTTTGTCAGTTTACTGGATATAAGTTCTATTGTATTGTTACATTAAATATTAATTATAGGTACCTCTGCTTCCTTTTACTGGCATAAGAACTGAAATCAGATGTAAACCATAAATTATTTGTGCTATTTCTTTCTTAATTTTCCCCCTTCTAATATAAATAATCCCATGGATTTGGGGGACATGGTAGATCTACAGATTAGCTCCTTGGAGTTGGTAAAGACATATCCAAATAAAACCTGGCAGCATCTTCATACCTTTACTGGAAAGAATTTTTGCTGGAGGTGTTACCTCCTATCAACTCTTGGTTAGTAAAAAATGATTTCTCTGTAACATTCTGCAATTTACTGGAGAGGATTTTTTTGAGAGAAGACAGACTAGTTTCTTTGGCATGGTGATGTGTGAAGGGTTACCAGGCAAAGCCAGTGAGATGCTCTAGAGAGTTCTGAAACCTGCTGTAAAATGAGTTGGTGATGATTTTATTATCTTTCCCTCTCTGTTCTGAGGACCCTCTTTGTATTCTCCGCTTCTATTTGTACACTTGTATTTGTAAGCAGTGCTAAGTGTGAAAGCAAAAGGCTCTCTGCAATATCAGGAATGGGAAGCCTGTGCATTTGGTATCAGCCAAGTGGAGATACAAGTATGAAATAACTCATTTCCCACTGTGTGTGTTGTCTCATTAAGTACAACGACCAACTCAGATTCATTTGCTTTTCTCCTTTCAGCTGTGGGAAAAGTCCTAGAAATTACTGAGCTGCCAGAGGGCATCACCCGGCTGGAGGCAGAGAAGCTCTTTGGAGAACTGTTCAAAGTGGGAGCGAAGATCCGGTGGGTGCGGGACGCGCAGTGCCTGCACTCGCAGCAGCGCCGCTCCGGCGGGGACGGGAGCACGGAGCCATCCAAGCCCAGTGACTTGGCCTCCACCTACACGGTCCTGGCCGCCTTCCCCACCATGTCGGCGGCGCAGAACGCGCTGAAGAAGCAAAGCAGTACCTCAGTGGGCAAGTTCAGGCTGAGAACCAGCAAGAAGCACTACGACCTCCACGGCCTGGAGAGGGCCAGTTCTCAGTAGCAGTTCCACCACGGACACTCAGCCTTTACTACTTCCATGTTCCCCCTCCTGGGTTGGTTTGATGTCACGGGGTTTCTGTTCTCTGCATGGAGACTCCTGGGATGTCTTGTCATACGACATTTGCCATTGAAGAATAAATAACCCGGTGAATCCAGCAAGATGAAGAAGAAAAGTTCCAGAGCTAATCCCAGACAATAGCAAGGAATCACCTTGGTGACAGGCAGTTTTCCATGAGGAATGCTGTGGAAATGCCCCCTACTTTTATAGTAGTTTTGTTTTATATTTTTGAAATCTTGTATCAGATCCAAAGTTCTATTGTACAGCAGATGTTCATAAAAATCCATATGCAGATTTGTATTTTATAATCCCTTTTCACAGCCAGCACACAGCTGTCCATTCCAAGGCAGGAACCTGAGGATTGGTGGAGGGGAAAAGAGAACCATTTTCAAGGAATTACATTCATTTTCTAGCAAACTACCCCAAACCTTCAAGTTAACCTGTTCTTTGTCCCTCGTGGTTTCCTTTTTTCTTTTTGAGTTTTTTTTAAGGAAAAAAAAAATCATTTTAGTAACTAACTCCTTAGGTGGTCATTTTCCTTTGCAATTCACTCAAACAATGTCAAAAGAAATTACAGGGTTGTACCCTCGAAGGATTTGCTTCTGATCCAGCAAGTTTAATAATTATTTAAAGGGGAATATGAATGGGTTACAAAGAATGTTCACTGAATCACATTTTAATATTTCTTTTTAGCAAAAGTGTGAAGAAAACTAAAATGTATCTTCACAAGTGACAAAATGTTTGCACTTTAATTGTGTCCCCACCAGTATGGCTCTCTCTCTCTTCCTTTTCACGCTAAGATAATTGTGTTTGATAAGTGCTGGAAACCTTTTTAATGGTTTAAGTTTTCATCATTTGCAGATGCTCACTGGACATTAAAGATTCATTGCACATAAATGAAACAAACCTTTTTTCAATCTGTGTAATTTGCAAGTCTGTACAATGTGTGCTGATGCAAGCCTTTTTCAGTTCAAGAGAATAAATGTTTACAAACACAAACCTTCCCAGTGCACTTGTTTAAACTTCTGGGAGTCTTCTGAAACCTGGATGAACTCACATCAATGCTTAGGATCCCTTGAAATGTGAGAAAAGAACTTAAAAATACTAAAACCTTTTAAAGAACCACTGTTGCTGTTCCTCCTCTTGAGTTTATGTTACCCTGCCCTCCATCATTTTTAAATGTTTCCCTACATAAGTAAAAAAGAGAAATTATTCAGATACCCTAAGGGACTGCTTCTGGTTTTATTTTTAGCTCAGGCACTGGTTTGCTGCTGTAACTACTTGTTCACTTCCTAAGGCTATTGCTTTGTAAAGAGTGCATTTGTAACTTCTGAAAGTGGAAACTTAAGGTAAACGTTGTGTTTAGAAACATTTTATAGAGCAAAAGTAAAGAATTAAAGTGCATTAATTTTCATCTTTTATACAAAAAAATTCTATCCCTGAGCAACCAATTGTGAAGGGGCAAGGACAGTCCTTTGCACGTTCAACTCGAGTCCTTCATGTGATGAAGTACTTGGAAGAAAGCTAAGAAATCTGACCTGTCTGGGAATGATGCAGCCTCACAAACTGGGTTTATGAGACTTGCTTCTGGGAAATGCTGGAATAACAGGTATTGAGGTGACTAAAGGTAAATTACACTCAATACTCCCCTAAAACAGAGGGGGAAATGTTGACCTTCAAGCCCCTGGCCAGAAGGCAAATCTGCTTAGCCCTGGCTGCTTTCCTAAAAGGATGGGACTTAGCATTTGAGTTCCTGTGCTGCTGAGGGATGTGTTTCTTCCTGCTGGGCTGCTGTAGTTCACTGCACCCAAAGCCAAAGATGGGAAGAGCCCCAGCTGGTGCAGTTTTCCTGCTCCTCTGAACAGCAGAGAGAACATGACTAACGCCCACATTCTGTTACTCCCTCTTGCTGATTGCCAGGGCCAGTTTCAGATTATGTTTTAATCCTGTAGAAGTAGCTCACAGGTTACAGGTCTGCAGTGACAGGTGTCCCAGCCCACAAGGCAGCTTCTCCCGTAGTTATCACATTCCACAAGATTTTTCCTAGCTGTAGAAGGGCAGTGAATGGCTGTGAGAGCTCCCATCTATTCTCAACAGCCCAAGAACTATATCTTGCATCAAATGGAACTGTTTCTGAGTGTTGCATGACTTGCTTCATTGCATAAACCTTCCCTATAACAACCAGAGAAGAAAAGGTAATGCAAGGGAAGCATGGAAATGCAATCCAAACAGTGGGAGGGGAGGGATACACTGATTAGGAACAAGGCCCAGGAAATACTTCATTTTTATCAAGTAAGTTGTAAACTTGAATGCAAATTGTCTTAGAAGAAAAAATTAGAGCATTTAATAAACCAGTTGTACTCTAATGGAGAACGTGATCCCTTCCAATTCCTACGAGCTGCTCACCCTTTCTGCATTCAGGGACAGTTACTTTTTTGGGTTTTGATCTGGCTGTGCTCTACAAGCCACATACAATTAACAGAAGTGTCAGAGGCTTGTGCTGTGTACAGGGGGCACAGAATTCACATATTCCCACTTTACAGTCTTGTTTATTCCTGATTGTGTGCTGTTTCATGCTGTCTCTATTAAGTGAACAGGATGCTTGTACCTTCCTGGCTTTTACACTTGTGCCCCTTCTTGTCTCTTAAGCCACACAAGCCTAGGTCAGGACTATGTGCAAAACCTCTGGAAATACATTTGTTCCATAGATTTGGATCATGGTCTAGAAAGCAAATAAAAGCACTTTATGGCATGAATTTGTCATATGTAAAACACATTCCCAAGTGTTCCCAACAACTCCTCTGGTGCTGTGGTGTATTTGAGCTGCCTGTCATTTAACATCAAAGCCACTTTTAAAGCAAATAGTGGCAAAAGGAATTAAGTGGGGACTTGTATTGCAGCAATACAGTATGTTTCATTTTACTCTGCACTCTCCTCAAAGCACATGGACCTGATGCTGGATTTGGGTAGACCAGAACGTCACACCTGAGAATCTCCTCACAGCCTGCAACCAAAAGGGAGTCAAAATTACAACTAGTTTTTTTTCTAAATACTTCAGCTCCATGATGTATTTTTTCCATAGAAACTTGGTGCAGCCTTTAAGTTCTTGTATTGAGCCCTGAGGCAAAGAATGTTAAGATGAAGCTTTGGAGAAAACTGACCAAAACACTTTTATGTTACAGGTCATGAAGAATTTTGTAGCTGGAATTTTTATATATTTTTAACTATGAAAGGACTCATTTCAATCCCTTCAATGTTTCTACAGCTCAGTCTTCATGAAGGTTGAATTACAGAGGCCTCGGTTTGAACTTCAGGGGAGGCACTGGCATTCTGCTGCTTTCTAATACCTAACTTTTGCCCTTGTTGTAGGGTTAATTAGCATTGCCCTTCTCTCAGTTTCCAAATAGTTACTCTATGAAACATCATTATTAAGTGCTCTGACAGCCTATCACATTGATTTACACAGTCTGGGAACTACATCAGACCTTGACTCCATGGCTACTCAAATTTGTTGCCTTCTTACTTGCCCTGAACTGATACTTTGATTTGTTAATGAACCATTGATTCAGGGTGAAGCAGCAGGACAATTTAAAAAAGGAATTCACTAATAAAAATATTTCCTTTTTAATGCAAATGGATCTGTGCTGTTTGGGGGAGAAAAAATTATTCTCTTAGAATGCAAATTGTACCCCATACCAATGGCTGAAAACATACAGACACTCCCCAGAGGAACTGAATCCCACGTAATGCTGCAGCTGCCAAATTATTTTTTCTGAGTTCCCAGTAAAACTTCCTACTTGTTACCCATTCCTTTTCCCGGGCCTACACATTGCAGACCTCTGCTGTTTTCCAGGGACACTGGCAGTAAGGGCTCTCAGATTAATTACAGCAGCAAAGGCACATCCAACAGCAGCAATCAGTGACTCTACAGTTAGAGACTTATATTTTTAAAATTGTAATTATCTGAGAGTGTAATATAGATGGTCCCTGAGGATGTAAAAGATTGCACACCTTCGCAGAAGTTACCTTTCCAGTCATTAGTAAGCCCTTCTTTCACGTTTAAACAGAATTTCTTCCTTGTTTCAAGTGGTGGCAAAAATTTTGAAAATCATGTTTGCAAGAGAATTTCCAAAACATACAGTGCTCAACACTTCACTCACCCTTCCCATGGAACTTGGCTTCCAACTTAGGATTTCAAATGAGATGCAGTAAATGCAAACTGCAGCTGTTGGAAAAGCCACGAGAATTAGTGCAACACATCCAAATTCCTCACAGAGTTAAGATACCAACATACCTTACAGCATTACTCCTCCTCTCCATGCACGTGTAAGAGAGATGTCTCTTTGCTCATCCCCCCCAAAAAACGTCTAGCTTAATATCATCCAACCTCTGGCATTGCCCTCAAATGTTTTGTACCATGAAGAAAGAAAATACAAAAAAATACAAAATAATAATTAAAAACCACTCAGAACCATGTTCTGATGGTTACTCCTTTAAAACCTTGCAGAAGCACAACACGTGTGTGCAAGGCTTACCCAGTGTGCAGGATTACTGACACATTTTCCACATGCTGCATCTTGAGAGAAGTAAAACAGCTTTTGTATTCTGTTGTCAACACTGACTTGCATCTTTTTTACTGTTGGTTTGTAGGTTTTTCTAGTTGTCATTTTCCAGTGACTTCTCTAATTAAGCTCCAGGTTACACAAAGTACAACAGTGAAAGGCTTTCCAGGCTGAGAGACTCCGTGTTTTTTGGCCTTCCAATGTTTGACAGTATCTGCCTCAGCAAGTTGCCCAGTTACACAGTCACAGTCCTAATGGTGTTTCAAAAATGCTTGGGGGGACCATTTTGTCCAAAATGTTATTACCAGAGCACTTGAAATGAACTGTCCTGTCCTCATTACTGTGAGATGTCCATCAAGGGGTGTGGCTGCTTTGCGGGATGTGCTGTCCCAGCCTGGGAGCAGGCAGGATGTCCTGGCCTCACCTCCTGCCTCTCATGGAGGGTCTGTGCACACCTCACTCTATTTTTGTCCCATTTAGCACTGATTTCTGTAATTTTTCCCCACTGCTTTCCCCCTCAGTCACACCTTTGCTGTCTCCAGGGCGGGCACTGGGGGTTGGCCGTGTCCATCCTGCCCTCGCAGCCCCAGGGGGCACGAGGGGCACGTGGGGTGTGTGTGCCCCTTTCTCCAGCACTGCCCCACACAATCACGGATTGTCAGGGTTGGAAGGGACCTCTGGAGATCACCCAGTCCAACCCCCTGCCAAGGAAGGGTCACCTGAAGCAGGGGACACAGGAATGTGTCCAGGTGGGTCTGGAATGTCTCCAGAGCGGGACACTCCACGCGCTCCCCGGGCAGCTGTTCCAGGGCTCTGCCACCCTCAACGTAAAGTTCTTCCTCATGTTGAGGTGAAACTTCTTGTGTTTTAGTTTATGGCCATTGCTCTTCGTCCTGTTGCTGGGCAGCACTGTCTTGGCACCTGCCTTTGAGATACTTTTATTCATCAATGAGATCCCCTCTCAGTCTTCTCCAGAGTAAACGGCCCCAGCTCCCTCAGTCTCTCCTCATCAGAGAGATGCTCCAGACCCCTCATCATCTTTGTGGCCTCTGCCGGACCCTCTCCAGTATCTCCTTGTCCTTGTACTGAGGAGCCCAGAATGGGTCACAGTATTCCAATGTTTAATCACCCTTTCTGTGAAGAAATTACTCCCAGTGTCCAACCCAATCCTCCCCTGGCGCAGTTTAAGACTGTGTCCTCTCATCTTGTCGCTCGTTGCCTGGTAGAAGAGCCCGACCCCCGCCTAGCTATACCCTCCTTTCAGGTGGTTGTAGAGAGCGATCTGGTGAGCCCTGAGTCTCCTTTTCTCCAGGCTAAGCCCCCCGCAGCTCCCTCCGCGGCTCCTCACAGCACTTCCTCCTCATCCTCACCTAAGGACGCACCGCCCCTGCCGCAGCTCCAAGATGGCGGCGGCCCGAGGGCGGTGTGAGGGAGGGGAGCGGCCGCCAATCAGGAGGCGCCTCGCCGGGGCGCGAGCGCAGGCGCGCGGGGGCCGTTGGGCATGCGCGGTGCCCCCGGCGCGGTGCGGTGAGGGCGGCGGGTCCCGGCGGGTGCCGGCGCTGCCGCGGCCGCACGATGTGGTTCGGCGGGTCCGTGCCCGCCGCCATCGCCGCCGCCAAGGAGCGCAGCTCCGTTTTCGTCGTGTTCGTGGCAGGTACGCTGCGTCCCGGGGCCCACCCGCCCCCCCCGCCCTCCGGCAGGGCCCGGCGGAGCCCTGCCGGCCGTGTGCCGCCCGCCGGGCGGGATTTGTGCTGTGTCAGCCCCGGCCCCGGCCCGTGTGGGGCTTTGCCCCTCGTTCTGCCCCGCTGCGCTCGCTCGGCTCCCGCTGCCGCTGCGTCGGGGGCTGTTTATGGTGTTTTGTTTCCTCCCCTCGCACGGACAGCGCGTGTTTCGTAACCGAGTGCCGCTGGAACCCGCACAGACCCACAGCGCCGGGTGCGCGCTGCCTTTCTGCCTGGAAACACGGGGAGGGGGACACGGCCCCGAGCTGCGCCAGCCGAGGATTAGGGTGGGCATGAGGAGGAATTTCTTCAGAGAAGGGGTGATTGGACACTGGAATGGGCTGCCCAGGGAGGTGGTGGAGTCACCGTCCCTGGGAGGTGTTTAAGGAAAGGCTGGACGTGGCACACAGTGCCATGCTCTGGTTGACACGGTGATGTTCGGTCGCAGGTTGGACTCGATGATCCCAGAGGTCTCTTCCAACCCGATTGATACTTTGATATTCTGTGGTTAGAGAGGCCCTTTAACTCACTTCTTGTGCTTTTATGTATCTGTGCGTGTTGTTTCTTTAGGTTTTACTGTTGCCTTAATTGCTTATGGCTTCAAGTCTTTCAGATGCCTCATGAAACAACAACGTGTGGCTTAGTGTTGTTCCCTCAGGAACTGCTGAACCGTGGGATTGGTGAGGCTTTGAGGAGAAGTTCCCTCCCGAAGGGGATGTGCACAGAAAAGTTAGTGCAGTTAAGTTCCCCTGTTGACACAACTCTCCTTATACCTGGAGAACAGCATTTTCTGCTGGATAGTGAACATACTGCTGGAAATCAAGGTCTTCTCAGACCACAGATGGAGTAAGGGATGGGGTGGAGCAGTTCATAAAGAGCTGCAGCCCGTGGGAAAGACTCCCTTTGGAGAAGCTGGGAAGGGACTCCATGCTCGAGCAGGGGAAGAGTGTGAGGAGTCCAGCTGCTGAGGAGGAAGGAGCAAGAGAGACAACGTGTGAGGAACTGACTGCAGGAAGGGTGGGGAGATTTGTTTTTATTTCTCATGATCCTACTCTGGCTTTTGATTAGTAATAAATGACATTAATTTTTCCCTAAGTCGAGTCTGTTTTGCCTGTGACAGTAACTGGTGAGTGATCCCTCCATGCCCTTATCTCTCCCACAAGCCTTCCATTCTATTCTCTTCCCCCTGCCCACTGAGGAGGGCAGTAGTAGAGTGGCTGAAAAGTGCATATTATAACTTGTTTCCACTATTTTTTATGACACTAAAATTGTACACAAACTAGGACCTTTTAGATGTTGATGTTGACTGGGTGGATGTAGGAATATGTAGATGTGTAACAGAGATGAATTTCAGGGATGTAACCTAGTTTTGTCACTTGGTGTGCTGTGAGGATTTGTTTTGTTTGCTTTTATGAGCCCTGGAAAAGGGGGAGTGTTACTTCAGTGAACCATATCTCTGAAAGGAAAGAGCTGGGGAGTTCTGCCAAGATCTGGTCCCCCCAGGCACCGTGGGATCAGGGCAGCTGACCTGGGCAGAGCTGATCATGAAGCATCAAGAACTCACTTTCTCACTGTGTGTGGAAGCACGTGTGTTTGAAGGATGCAGAGTGCTGAAAGAACAGTCTATTTTTATGTTAGCAGGGGTTGACTTTGTTGTTTGGGTATCAACATTTCAGACTGCACAGTGAGGGTAACTTCGGGCCTTTACACTCCACGCTTCCCACTGGAGGCAGGCATTTGAAAGCAGCTTTCTGAGCAGGCAAACAAGGATTCAGCAGCGTTCAGTGTTTCTGTTTTGTTTTGGACACTTCATCCAAATAGTGGCTATGGGGATAAAAAATGAATAAAGGAAAAAAAATTAGTGAGAGAAATTGAAAATATAAGTTAAATGCAATTTTGAGGTGGCCACTAGTGGAGAAGAACTGTTAGATACAGTCCTGACCAAAATGAGTGAATTCTGGTAGGTCCATCTCTGGTTTCTACCACCATCTCTCTTCCCTTCACTTGTCTTCTTTGCTCTTTACTTACTTTCTCTCTAGAAAATGAAGAACTGAATGATTCTTTCTGCTTCCAGGATGTTTTTCTAGTCAAGCAAGGAATACTGTGGTTATTTATCTTAAAAAGGAGGTGGTGTTTATGACTGCAAGTGCATGTTGTTCAACCAGGTTTCTCCTTTACCATTTGTGTTTGCAGCTGAAATCCCAATGTTTTTGAGTTCAGTGTTTGAAACCCTCAGGACACGTTGTGGTGATGCAATAGTGTAAGTGTAGTAAAGATGCTGTTGAACTCCTGGGAAGTTGCAATAAAAGGTGTTGCTCCATACTCTGCAGAGAGCACGAGGTGAAGTGTGTCTGCCTTAGGAAACTGATTTTAAATATTAAGGTGAGATGTTAAATAGAGCCTTCTGTGCACACCAGGCAGGGGAGTTGTGTGTGGGGAACAGACGAGTTACTTTGTGGCATCAGTTAATTGCCGGCAGCAGTTTCCCTCTGCTGCTGTGCAGGGAACAGTGTTCCTGGTGGTGAAACAGGTCTGAGGAACCCAGATAGACGAGGGAATGGCTGGAGCTGTGTCGGGGAGGTTTAGGTTGGGTATTAGGGAAAGGTTCTTCCCCCAGAGGGTGGTTGGGCACTGAACAGGCTCCCCAGGGCACTGGCCATGGCCCCAAGGCTGCCAGAGCCCAAGAAGCGTTTGGACAACGCTCTCAGGCACACGGTGTTACTCTTGGGGTTGTCCTGTGCAGACCAGGAGTTGGACTGCATGATCCTTGTGGGTCCTTTCCAGCTCAGGACATTGTGTGATTCTGTTCTCTGGTATCTTGTGGTAGCTGTTCTGTAGATGGTTTTGTAGCCTACGGAGTTAAAAAACGCCTTTCATTCCTTGAGTTATTAATCTGAAGTTCAGTTGTTCATTTGGTATGAAACCTCCTCTGTTCTGGTTGAGGTGTTTAAGATTATCCTTTCCAAAGGTTAGAAATGTTCTGATCATGAAAATACCAGGCCACTCATAAAAAGTGCTTTTCAGAGTGAAGAAATGAAGGGGGGGTATGGGGAAAGTAAAAAGCTTCAAGATAAAATGTTTGTGTTTCTTTTTAATAACATTTGTAGAAATCCTCCTTCCTTTGTTCATAGCTTTATTTTATGGATTATTTTTTTACAAAATGGTGCTTTGCAATCATAAGCTATTTGTTAGTAATTTGTAGCCAAGATGTAGCAAAGCACTTTTCAAGTGAAATGACGCAAAGGAGGAGGAGGTGAACAGCTTCATGTCCTGGCTTTTCTGGCATTTCCAGAATCAAAATCCTTACTCTTACTGCGCAATTATGAAATGTTGGACATGGAAAAGTCAGCTAGGCTTATCTCTCTCCTTCTGAAAGGAAGACACTTTTCCCTGATGACTGAGTGTTGAGGAATAGGGGAGTTAAAGTCTGACAACCTGTGATGGTTTTGAGTAAGTTCCTCATACAGGAAATAAATTATTGCAGGAAAAGTGTCTATTTTCTCTGCACAGCTATCTAAATTTACCTGGCCAAATTTAAGAGACGAGGAAGTGTGACTGTGAATTGTGTACGGATTGTTACACCAAGTGAAATAAAGTGATGCTTTTGTTTGAGAAACAAGAAATCTGAGAGTCTTGGGAGCCGGAATTCTGAAGTGGTTGTGCTGGCTCAGTGTTTCGCAGAATTATGAGTTATGTCATGTTCAGGCTTCACCTCTTGACCTTTCTGATGTTTTTCCTGTGACCTGGCAGTTTTCATTTCAGGATATAATTACTACTACCTGTAATAAAAGAGCCTTAACCCCCAAATGAGGAAGGGTTATCAAAACAAAAAGATGTGTGAGAATAAGCAACTCTTCGGTGGGTGGTCACAGTATTAATCTGTGTGTTGTCGCAGAGAGCTTTATAAAATGTGAGTTATCAGCATTTTCATTCACGGGGCACATCTCAGACTGTCCTGTGAA